TTGTGTAGGAGACGTCTGTTGGACGTTGTGTAGAGACGTCCGTTGGACGTTGTGTAGAGACGTCCGTTGGACGTTGTGTAGGAGACGTCTGTTGGACGTTGTGTAGAGACGTCTGTTGGACGTTGTGTAGAGACGTCTGTTGGACGTTGTGTAGAGACGTCTGTTGGACGTTGTGTAGGAGACGTCTGTTGGACGTTGTGTAGAGACGTCTGTTGGACGTTGTGTAGAGACGTCTGTTGGACGTTGTGTAGAGACGTCCGTTGGACGTTGTGAGGAGACGTCCGTTGGACGTTGTGTAGAGACGTCCGTTGGACGTTGTGTAGGAGACGTCCGTTGGACGTTGTGTAGAGACGTCTGTTGGACGTTGTGTAGAGACGTCCGTTGTACGTTGTGTAGAGACGTCCGTTGGACGTTGTGTAGAGACGTCTGTTGGACGTTGTGTAGGAGACGTCCGTTGGACGTTGTATTAGAGACGTCCGTTGGACGTTGTGTAGAGACGTCCGTTGGACGTTGTGTAGAGACGTCCGTTGGACGTTGTGTAGAGACGTCCGTTGGACGTTGTGTAGAGACGTCCGTTGGACGTTGTGTAGAGACGTCCGTTGGACGTTGTGTAGAGACGTCCGTTGGACGTTGTGTAGAGACGTCCGTTGGATGTTGTGAGGAGACATCTGATGGACGTTGTGTAGAGACGTCTGTTGGACGTTGTGTAGAGACGTCCGTTGGACGTTGTGTAAAGACGTCCGTTGGACGTTGTGAGGAGACGTCCGTTGGACGTTGTGTAGAGACGTCCCTTGGACGTTGTGTAGGAGACGTCCCTTGGACGTTGTGAGGAGACGTCCGTTGGACGTTGTGAGGAGGCGTCCGTTGGACGTTGTGTAGGAGACGTCCGTTGGACGTTGTGTAGAGACGTCCGTTGGACGTTGTGTAGAGACGTCCGATGGACGTTGTGTAGAGACGTCCGTTGGACGTTGTGAGGAGGCGTCCGTTGGACGTTGTGTAGGAGACGTCCGTTGGACGTTGTGTAGGAGACGTCTGTTGGACGTTGTGTAGAGACGTCTGTTGGACGTTGTGTAGAGACGTCTGTTGGACGTTGTGTGGAGACGTCTGTTGGACGTTGTGTAGAGACGTCCGTTGGACGTTGTGTAGAGACGTCTGTTGGACGTTGTGTGGAGACGTTGTGTGGAGACGTCTGTTGGACGTTGTGTAGAGACGTCCGTTGGACGTTGTGTAGAGACGTCTGTTGGAGGTTGTGAGGAGACATCTGATGGACGTTGTGTAGGAGACGTCTGTTGGACGTTGTGTAGGAGACGTCCGATGGACGTTGTGTAGAGACGTCTGTTGGACGTTGTGTAGAGACGTCTGTTGGACGTTGTGTAGAGACGTCCGTTGGACGTTGTGTAGAGACGTCCGTTAGACGTTGTGAGGAGACGTCCGTTGGACGTTGTGAGGAGACGTCCGTTGGACGTTGTGTGGAGACGTCCGTTGGACGTTGTGTAGAGACGTCCGTTGGACGGTGTGTAGAGACGTCCGATGGACGTTGTGTAGAGACGTCCGTTGGACGTTGTGTAGGAGACGTCCGTAGGACGTTGTGTAGAGACGTCTGATGGACGTTGTGTAGAGACGTCTGTTGGACGTTGTGTAGAGACGTCTGTTGGACGTTGTGTAGGAGACGTTTGTTGGACGTTGTGAGGAGACGTCTGTTGGACGTTGTGTAGAGACGTCTGATGGACGTTGTGTAGGAGACGTCCGTTGGACGTTGTGTAGAGACGTCTGATGGACGTTGTGTAGAGACGTCTGTTGGACGTTGTGTAGAGACGTCCGTTGGACGTTGTGTAGAGACGTCTGTTGGACGTTGTGTAGAGACGTCCGTTGGACGTTGTGAGGAGACGTCCGTTGGACGTTGTGTAGAGACGTCCGTTGGACGTTGTGTAGAGACGTCCCTTGGACGTTGTGTAGGAGACGTCCCTTGGACGTTGTGAGGAGACGTCCGTTGGACGTTGTGAGGAGGCGTCCGTTGGACGTTGTGTAGGAGACGTCCGTTGGACGTTGTGTAGAGACGTCCGTTGGACGTTGTGTAGAGACGTCCGTTGGACGTTGTGTAGAGACGTCCGATGGACGTTGTGAGGAGACGTCCGTTGGACGTTGTGAGGAGGCGTCCGTTGGACGTTGTGTAGGAGACGTCCGTTGGACGTTGTGTAGGAGACGTCTGTTGGACGTTGTGTAGAGACGTCTGTTGGACGTTGTGTAGAGACGTCTGTTGGACGTTGTGTGGAGACGTCTGTTGGACGTTGTGTAGAGACGTCCGTTGGACGTTGTGTAGAGACGTCTGTTGGACGTTGTGTGGAGACGTTGTGTGGAGATGTCTGTTGGACGTTGTGTAGAGACGTCCGTTGGACGTTGTGTAGAGACGTCTGTTGGAGGTTGTGAGGAGACATCTGATGGACGTTGTGTAGGAGACGTCTGTTGGACGTTGTGTAGGAGACGTCCGATGGACGTTGTGTAGAGACGTCTGTTGGACGTTGTGTAGAGACGTCTGTTGGACGTTGTGTAGAGACGTCCGTTGGACGTTGTGTAGAGACGTCCGTTAGACGTTGTGAGGAGACGTCCGTTGGACGTTGTGAGGAGACGTCCGTTGGACGTTGTGTGGAGACGTCCGTTGGACGTTGTGTAGAGACGTCCGTTGGACGGTGTGTAGAGACGTCCGATGGACGTTGTGTAGAGACGTCCGTTGGACGTTGTGTAGGAGACGTCCGTTGGACGTTGTGTAGAGACGTCTGATGGACGTTGTGTAGAGACGTCCGTTGGACGTTGTGTAGAGACGTCTGTTGGACGTTGTGAGGAGACGTCTGTTGGACGTTGTGTAGAGACGTCTGATGGACGTTGTGTAGGAGACGTCCGTTGGACGTTGTGTAGAGACGTCTGATGGACGTTGTGTAGAGACGTCTGTTGGACGTTGTGTAGAGACGTCCGTTGGACGTTGTGTAGAGACGTCCGTTGGACGTTGTGTAGATGAGTCTATTGTTCATTGTGTAGATGAGTCTATTGTTCATTGTGTATATAAGTATGTTGTTCATTGTGTATAGAAGTCTATTGTTCATTGTGTAGATGAGTCTATTGTTCATTGCGTATTTAAGTCTATTGTTCATTGTGTAGAGGAGTATATTGTGCATTGTGTAGAGTCTATTGTTCATCGTGTAGAGGAGTCTATTGTTCATTGTGTAGAGGAGTCTATTGTGCATTGTGTAGAGGAGTCTATTGTTCATTGTGTAGAGGAGTCTATTGTGCATTGTATAGTCTATTGTACATTGTATAGAGGAGTCTTTTGTTCATTATATAGAGGAGTCTATTGTACATTGTATAGTCTATTGTATAGAGGAGTCTATTGTTCATTGTATAGAGGAGTCTATTGTGCATTGTATAGTCTATTGTACATTGTATAGAGGAGCCTATTGTGCATTGTGTAGAGGAGTATGTTGTGCATTGTATTGTATAGAGGAGCCTATTGTGCATTGTGTAGAGGAGTACGTTGTACATTGTATAGTCTATTGTACATTGTATAGAGGAGCCTATTGTGCATTGTGTAGAGGAGTATGTTGTACATTGTATAGTCTATTGTACATTGTATAGAGGAGCCTATTGTGCATTGTGTAGAGGAGTATGTTGTACATTGTATTGTCTATTGTATATTGTATAGAGGAGCATATTGTGCATTGTGTAGAGGAGTATGTGTTACATTGTATAGTCTATTGTACATTGTATAGAGGAGCCTATTGTGCATTGTGTAGAGGAGTATGTTGTACATTGTATAGTCTATTGTATATTGTATAGAGGAGCCTATTGTGCATTGTGTAGAGGAGTATGTGTTACATTGTATAGTCTATTGTACATTGTATAGAGGAGCCTATTGTGCATTGTGTAGAGGGGTATGTTATACATTGTATAGTCTATTGTACAATGTTTAGAGGAGCCTATTGTTCATTGTATAGAGGAGTCTATTGTACATTGTATAGTCTATTGTATATTTTATAGAGGAGTCTATTGTTCATTGTATAGAGGAGTCTATTGTACATTGTATAGAGGGGAACGGCTTTGTTCTCGACACCCACCCATGGATAGGGAGGGAGTTCCATCGCCCATCTGTGTGTGTTCCACCAACCCTCCACACAGCACTGAATGATCACAGGCAGCCGCGTGTGTAGTAGCGTAGCCGCCATTCGTCACTAAGTGAGGGTGACATCACCACAGCGCTTGTGCCAGGCCAGGTGCACTTTGAGGCCACGCTGCTGGCAGGAGGTCTCGGGATAGACCCAGCAGGTGCCATGGGTCTACTGACTGGCAGATGCACCACCAGCTGTACCCCCTACTGCGCTCACCGCCATCACCACCACCGCCACCATCACCACCACCATCACCACCAACGCCATGACCACCACCGCCATCACCGCCACCATCATCACCACCACCATCACCACCAACGCCATGACCACCACCGCCATCACCACCACCGCCACCATCACCACCACCATCACCACCAACACCATGACCACCACCGCCATCACCGCCACCATCATCACCATCACCACCACCACCATCACCACCATCACCACCAATGCCATGACCACCACCGCCATCACCACCATTACCGCCACCATCACCACCGCCTCCACCATCACCACCGCCATCGCCACCGCCATCGCCACCACCGCCATCACCACCATCACCACCGCCATCACCACCGCCACCACCGCCATCACCACCGCCATCGCCTCCATCACCACCATCACCACTGCCATCGCCACCACCGCCATCACCACCACCATCACTGCCACCATCACCAACGCCACCACCATCACCACCGCCGCGGTCACCACCGCCACCACCACCGCCACCCCCCGTCACCACCGCCACCATCACCACCGCCCCCACACGACCACCGCCCCCGGCTAGACGGGGTTGACGTTGGCCGCGCTGCTGACGAGCGCCGGTGCGGGCGCCGTCAGTGCGCTTGCAGGAGGGCGGCCAGCGGCGCGTCCTGGACGGCGCCGCGCGCCAGCGGCGCCTGGCGCGCCAGCTGGACGCGCTGGAGATGGACAACTTCCAGGAGGACCCTCACTCTCACCTGCTGGCGGGCCCTGCCGCTCGACTGCCCAGCTTCCAGGACCCCGAACAGCCCGGTGAGCAAACACGCGCTCCTGCTGCTGCTTGTGTGTGGTGTGGTGTGTGTGGTGTGTGTGGTGTGTGTGTGTGGTGTGTGTGTGTAGTGTGTTGTGTGTGTGGTGTGTGTGTGGTGTGTGTGGTGTGTGTGGTGTGTGTGATGTGTAGTGTGTGTGTAGTGTGTGTGGTGTGTGTAGTGTGTGTGTGGTGTGTGTGTGTGTGGTGTGTGTGTGGTGTGGTGTGTGGTATTCTGTATGTGCTGTGTGTGTGCTGTGTGTATGTGCTGTGTGTGTGTGTATATTCTGTGTGTGCTGTGTGTGTGTATTCTGTGTGTGCTGTGTATGTGCTGTGTGTATGTATGTGTGTGCTGTATGTGCTGTGTATGTCCTGTTTGTGTGTATGCATGTGTGTGCTGTATGTGCTGTGCGTGTGTATGTGTGTGCTGTGTGTTCGGTGCTTACCCCAAGGTCGCAAACGCAAGAAATTGAGAGGCGATCACTTCAAGTTGAGATTCCGTAAAACGTTCCAGGCCCTGCTGGAGGAGGAGGTGAGTGAGTGGGTGAGTGGGTGATTGGGTGGGTGAGTGGGTGAGTGGGTGAGTGGGTGGGTGGGTGGGTGAGTGGGTGATTGGGTGGGTGAGTGGGTGAGTGGGTGGGTGGGTGGGTGGATGAGTGGGTGAGTGAGTAGGTGGGTGAGTGGGTGAGTGAGTAGGTGGGTAAGTGGGTGAGTGGGTGGGTGGGTGGGTGAGTGGGGGGGGTGAGTGGATAAGTAGGTGGGTGGGTGAGTGGGTGAGTGGGTGGGTGAGTGAGTGGGTGGGTGGGTGATTGGGTGGGTGAGTGGGTGAGTGGGTGGGTGGGTGAGTGGGTGATTGGGTGGGTGAGTGGGTGAGTGGGTGGGTGGGTGAGTGAGTCAGTGAGTGGGTGGGTGTGTGTGGGGAGCGGCAGTGTTGCGGTTAGCGCTACACTGCGCTACAAACCTGGCGACCCGGGTTCGATTCCCGCTCGCGGCTCAGCATCAATGACGATTACCCGAACCGGTCCTGGGCCTCCCCCTAGGTCGACCCAGCCTCAAACGAGCTCCCGGGCTGCCATGGCGATGTTGAGCCTCGTCCACCGGGGGGAGACGGCCGGGCGGCCGGGGCCTCCCCCGAAGGTCCGTCGAGAGGCTACCGGGGGGACCCCCCCCCCCCCCCACTTTGTCTTTGTAGAACCTGTCGGCGAGTGAGGGGGGCCCCAGCTACCTGACGGTGGGGGTGCCGCCGTCCCCGCGGCCCCCGCGCCGCTTCTGTGCCGTGTGCGGGTTCCCGGCGGCGTACACGTGCGTGCCGTGCGGGGCGCGGTGCTGCTGCGTGCGCTGCCTGGCGGTGCACCACGACACGCGGTACGCTCGCGCGCGGACACACACACAGACACACACAGACACACGCAGACACAGACACACACACAGACACACACACGCAGACACACACACGCAGACACACAGACACACACGCAGACACACACACAGACACACACACACACGCAGACACACACACGCACGCAGACACACGCACGCAGACACACGCACGTACGTGCGTACATGCACACACACGCACGCATGCACACACATACACACACGTGCACACACCTACACGCATGCACGTATAGACCGACACGCGTACACACGCGTACACACGCACGACACACACATGTACACAACAACAACAACCGCCATTCGCCACTAATTGGCGGTGACGTCACCACGACGCTTGTGCACACACTCACACGCACACTCACACGCACTCACACACGCACTCACACACACTCACACACACTCACTCTCACACACACACAAACAATCACAAAGACAAAGATCCCCCATATAGCCTTAACAGACTGTAGGGGCAAGTGCTGTTAGCGAGCACCTATGAAGGCCGGAACGGTACACGAGGGGGTGGGTGGCCAGCACCACGCCCGACCGCCTTTGTCTCCCTAGTGGCAATGTTTACACACCGCACCAGGTACTCATTTGAGGCTGAGTCGACCTAGGGGAGGCCCGGGACCGGTTCAGATAATCGTCACTGGTGTTGGCCGTGAGCGGGAATCGAACCCGGGTCGCCAGGTTCATAGCGCAGCGCGCTAACCGCTACACTATCGCTCCCCACACACACTCACTCACACACACAAACACTCACACACACTCACACACAACAACAACAACAACCGCCATTCGCCACTAAGTGGCGGTGACGTCACCACGACGCCCGTGCCAGGCCATGTGCACCCTGAGGCCACGTGAAGTGTCGAACGCCCGCGGGCAGGAGGTCACGGGGCAGACCCAGCAGGTGCCACCGGTCGACTGACTGAGACGACTGGCTGACACACCAACGTACACGTGTACACACGCACGTAGACACGCACACGCGCGTACATACGCACACGCGCGTACACACACGTGACGATGGAGCTATGAGCGTTGTTTTTGCCACGTTGTTGTTGGTGTGTTTCTAATGCGCGTGTGCGTTCGTGCGTTCGCAGGTGCCTGAAGTGGACAGTTTGAAGCGTGCGCCGTTCGTAGAATTGCCGGCGAAAAGGGTCCCGCAGATTGAAACCGCGTAGCCCGAGCCATTGACGCTTTTTGCCGATTGCATTGCCCTTGTACTGCCCCCTTTTGTTGGCGGCCTTTAGCTCCAAAGCGCCGGTGAGACAGAGCCACGAAGGAGGCTGCAGCTCTGGTGTAGGCCTGTGCGTTACATCGCTGTCGAAGCGTTTGTTTGTCTAGCATTGATCTAGCAGTGCCGGATTATCCTCGTACAGGGGTGGGCAAATCTTTTGACTCGGGGGCCACAATGGGTTCTAAAATTCGACAGAGGGGCCGCGCCCAGTAACGGATGGACGGAGTGTTCTGTGTGAACTAGATATAAATGGCGTGTTAAAAATCATTACGTGAGAGGCTTTGGCCTTCAACAGGCACCAAAGCATTTGTACGCAAGGCAATTTAACGAATTGCACGAACGTGGACGGTGCAGAAAAGCGTGTCGTAACTCCCGCTCAAAGTGCGCCATCTAATGGGGAAATGGGGGCATCACAGGAGAAAGGTAAAATTTAATTTAATAATAATTATTCATAATAAAGGTTTTTGGGTTAGATCGCGTTTATTTATAAATGTGTCGTAACCCTCCACCACCCGACACGGCCAATCAGCAAAAAAGTGTCGCGTTGACAAAAGACAAAATAGTTCACTACTTTAGCCCACCGGTGTGTTGAAGAGTGAATCCACAACATTTACAGTTTGAGTACTCTTCAACACACCGGTGGGCTAAAGTAGTGAATTATTTGTCTTTTGTCAACGTGACACCTTTTTTTGCTGATTGGCCGTGTCGGGTGGTGGAGGGTTACGACACATTAATAAGTAAACGCGATCTAACCCAAAAACCTTTATTATGAATAATATTGGTCGCGAAAGCCTCCTACGTGTTAAACCAATAATAATAATTATATTTGGACAAGTTTCGGCGGGCTGTGATTAAAAAGCCCAACGGGCCGTATAAAGCCCCGGGGGCCGTACTTGGCCCACGTCTGGTCTAGTAGCAAAAGTAGCGACGTTTGTAGCCACTTGGGGCCCCGCACTCTCAAGGGCCCCGCGCTGAACGCTTTCAAGCTATCAATTCCACGTTGAGTGATTCTGCACTTGCTCTGGTGCTACACTGCCATAGCGCCTTCAACTTTTACGAACGACCGGGGGTGTTTGAGGTTAGCGATCTGTCGTATTATCTGGCCGTGTAGCGAATGAAAACAAAAAAAAACGCTTCACTATCCGGGCCCGCTGCACGCCGCTCAACGATCTTACATTAACATGCTAATTTTTACCGGGCGGCCCTTTGATTGGCGGGAAAGCCACCACCGTCACGGCCGCCGCCCACCACTCGCATTCTCATTGGCTGCCGACGTTTGGGCTACGCCCATTTCAAACCTTTACCAGCGGTTCACCTTGAGAGGCGAAACCCCCTTTTCCTGATTTTGACCGCTTGTGAGCGGTTTCTTTCTCATTTCCTTTGAACCGACCTCCGCGGCTTTACCGAAAGACCCCAAGGGATTTGAATTCCCTGCCGTCGCGAAAGCTCCCTCGAGCCAACATTTTGTACTGCGCAAGTTGAAAATTTGCGTTTTAACGTTTCGTTTTAACAAAAAATGCAAGGCCCCCCCTTTACGGCACATGCTACGTGCCCCCCCCCCCTTGTGCCGGTCGCCGTTCTCCCGCCTCGACACCCGGCGCAGACACGAGGGCACGGAGGACGCCGTGGCTCTGGTGGAGGCCCAGTCCGCTTCTGCCTCCCTTGTCCGTCTTTCCTCCCTCCTTACCTCTCGGTGGACTTGTATACGTGTATGCCTACCGACCGTGTACCTCGTATTTTTCATTCTATCCACGCTGGCACGTGCAATCCAAAGGTTGAACACGAAATTTAAGGCTCTTCTGAAATTCGTGGTCCGCCAGGAAGTGTCTAACTGTGTTGTTGGCCTGACCGGATGTGCTTCACGTAATTGTTTTGTTCAGGTTTGTTGAATTCTCGTCTCTCATCTTTTTTTCTTATTTGGTTCTTTCGGTAAAGTCACCACCACGTAGAATGAGAATAAAATAATACATTAATAGAATAAAATAACACGATAAAATTCTCACGACGTTTCGGCCACAACGCAAGTGGCCTTCTTCAGGTGAAAGGAACAGACCTGTCGGGACGACAGAGCTTCAATGAACGTTGTTAAGATTTGTAGCGTCTTTTTAAGCTGGTTTAGAGAAGTGAGGCACCTTGACAAAGGGGTTTACATATCAAACAGGAGAATTTAGCATTGAAATAGCTGAGTGATTAGCTTTTGACTGGTCACAGAAATAGCTATGTTAAAGTCAAAGCCTACACATCCACAGAGGCACCTAGTACAAATCAAACATGATAATTTAGCATTGAAATAACTGAGTGATTAGCTTGTGACTGGTCATAGAAATAGCTGTGTTAAAGTCAAAGCCTACACATCCACAGAGGCACCTAGTACAAATCAAACATGATAATTTAGCATTGAAATAGCTGAGTGATTAGCTCGTGACTCCGTGATTTGTTCTTGACACCTGATGAAGATCGCTTGCGTTGTGATCGAAGCGTCGTGATTGTTTTTTATTTTAATATAATTTTTTTAATTGTATTTCTACATACGTGACTTTACCGAAAACACCAATGAGTAGTCTTATCGAAGCACCTTGCACTGCAAGGTTGACGTGTCCTTCGTGCAGGTGGGAGGGTTGTCCGATTTGGTGTTTGGGCATCTCAGCACCTCCTGTGCTATCGCCAGGACGGGCAAAGCCTCGTCTTTTGAAAACCAGAATTGACCCCGTGTCTCTGGGTGAGCGCACGCGTGTCTACGCTCGCTAGAAAGCACTTGCCCCAGCAAGTCTGTGGAGGGTACACGGGGGGTCTTTGTCTTTGTATGTTCGCGGACAGCACTTGCCCTGGAAAGTCTGTGGAGGCTACATGGGGGGTCTTTGTCTTTGTATGTTCGCGGACAGCACTTGCCCCGGCAGTCTGTGGAGGCTACACGGGGGATCTTTGGCTTTGTATGTTCGCAGACAGCACTTGCCCCAGCAGTCTGTGGAGGCTACACGGGGGGTCTTTGTATGTTCGCGGACAGCACTTGCCCCGGCAAGTCTGTGGAGGCTACACGGGGGATCTTTGGCTTTGTATGTTCGCAGACAGCACTTGCCCCAGCAGTCTGTGGAGGCTACACGGGGGATCTTTGTATTTGTACGTTCGTGGACAGCACTTGCCCCGGCAGTCTTTGGAGGCTACACGGGGGACCTTTGTATGTTCGCGGACAGCACTTGCCCCAGCAGTCTGTGGAGGCTACACGGGGTGGGGGGTCTTTGTCTTTGTTCTTAGATGGGAGCAGTGGCGCAGCGGTTAGTGCTACGCTGCGCTACCAACCCAGCGAGTTCGATTCCCGCTCTGGGCCAACACCGGTGACGATTATCCGAATCTGTCGTGGGGCTCCCTTAGGTCGACTCGGCCTCAAACGAGTACCCGGTGTAGCGGTGCGTAGTAAACGTCGCCACCCACTGGGGGAGACAAAGGCGGCCGGGCGTGGTTGCTGGCCACCCACCCCCTCGTGTACCACAGTGCCGGTAGCCTTCATAGCTGCCAATGATCCATCCTTGGTTTAGCCTGCAGGCTGGATCGTGCGAGGAGCTCACAAATCCGTGAGAGATCCGGGCACGGTCCCAGCAGTGAGCTCCTCCGGCCAGGCGAGGCTGCGTTGGCTGGATCATGTAGCCACCGCATGGCCCAGCAGACACCGCATGGCCCAGCAGCTTCTGATTGGCCGCACAGAGGGGGCTAAACGGGCACGGCACGGGCTAGAGAAGAGATGGAGCTGATGTGGTACAGGAGGACGTGGAGCTGAGTGGACTTGCCGATGACTGGTACCAGCGGTGTCAAGATCGGCCTCTGTGGAGGAGGCTCGTGAAGGACGCTACTGGGCAGTTGGAGGCAGTCGCCCTCCAACAACAACGGAGGGCGGAGGAGCGACGCTCACAACAACGAGCGGAGCGCCGGGCGGATAAAACGCAGTGGGGGGGGGGCACAGGTGGTGCATCAGCCAGTCACCTCAGTCAACCCACGGCACTTGCTGGGTCTGTCCCGTGTTGTCCTGCACCTAGCCTGGCACAGCAGTCAACCCATGGCACCTGCGTCCGTCCGTGACCTGCCTCAAAGGTGCACCTAGCCTGGCACAAGCACCGTGGTGTCATCACCGCCACTTAGTGGTTGTGTATTTGCATGCGTGTTTCTATTTGAGTGTTTCATGGGAGTGTTTATATTTATGCGTGCGTGCATGTGTGTGTGCGTGCCTGTGTGTGCGTGCCTGTGTGCGTGCGTGCCTGTGTGTGCCTGTGTGTGTGCGTGCCTGTGTGTGTGTGCGTCTGCGTGTACATCATGGGGAGCGGTCGGCGCTATGAACCCGGCGACCGAGTTCGATTCCCGCTCACGGCCACCAACACTGGCGGGTGAAGATGATTTACCCGGCCTCGGAGCTGGCCACCCACGCCTCCTCGCGCGCCCTTGGCTGCTGCTGCTGCTACTCACAGCACTTGCCCCAAAGTCTGTTGCAGGCTACACGGGGGAGCTTCGTCTTTGTGGACGCAGTCGGCATAGAAACTAACAACGATTCAGGAAAGATGCCAGGAAAACTTTTAAAAAATTTTTATTTATTCGTGAATTGAAATTTTTTTGCACGAAGACATTGAGAAACGTGAACGGAGATTATTTTTTTTTTTACGCGCGTGGCTGTGCGAGCCCTCCACCACCCAGCGGCAGAGCCAATCAAATCAGGGGGGGGAGGGGGAACTGGACCCCCCCCCCCCCACCACAGAGTTGGATCGTACCAACTGAGCCTCAGCACACAGGGGTGGGGAGGCAACTGGACCCCCCCCCCTCCAAAAGAGGTGGATCATACCAACAGCCTCGTCACACACTGGGCGGGGGGGGGGGGCAACGGGACCCCCCCTTCCACAGTTGGATCGTACCAACTGAGCCTCGGCACTGGGGGGTGGGGGGGCAACTGGACCCCCTCCCCCCAATCACAGAGTTGGATCGTACCAACTGAGCCTGAGCACAAGGTCCGGGGGGGGGGGGGTGTGGGCAGACTCGTGCATCATGATAATAAAGTGACGTCACACACGGTGAGCCGCGTTGTTCTTGGCGGTCCCCCTGGCCCCAGTGTCAGGAGACTCGCAGCATCACCCACAGCATCACCCACAGCGTCACCCACAGCATCACCCACAGCGTCACCCACAGCGTCACCCACAGTGTCACCCACAGTGTCAATCACCCACAGTGTCACCCACAGTGTCAATCACCCACAGCATCACCCACAGCGTCACCCACAGAGTCACCCACAGCATCACCCACAGTGTCAATCACCCACAGCATCACCCACAGCGTCACCCACAGTGTCAATCACCCACAGCATCACCCACAGTGTCAATCACCCACAGTGTCAATCACCCACAGCGTCACCCACAGCATCACCCACAGTGTCAATCACCCACAGCGTCACCTACAGTGTCAATCACCCACAGCATCACCCACAGCGTCACCCACAGTGTCAATCACCCACAGCATCACCCACAGCGTCAATCACAGTGTCAATCACCCACAGCGTCACCCACAGTGTCAATCACCCACAGCGTCACCCACAGTGTCAATCACCCACAGCGTCACCCACAGTGTCAATCACCCACAGCATCACCCACAGCGTCACCCACAGTGTCAATCACCCACAGCGTCAATCACCCACAGCATCACCCACTGTCAATCACCCACAGCGTCACCCACAGCGTCAATCACCCACAGCATCATCCACAGCGTCAATCACCCACAGCGTCACCCACAGTGTCACGACACCCACGGCACCCCCCACGGCGTCACGGCACCCCTCAGTGTCACGACATCCACAGCATCACCCACAGCATCAATCACCCACAGCATCACCCACAGCATCAATCACCCACAGCATCAATCACCCACAGCATCACCCACAGCATCAATCACCCACAGCATCACCCACAGCGTCAATCACCCACAGCATCAATCACCCACAGCATCATCCACAGCGTCAATCACCCACAGCATCAATCACCCACAGCATCATCCACAGCGTCAATCACCCACAGCATCAATCACCCACAGCATCATCCACAGTGTCACGACACCCCCCACGGTGTCACGACACCTCTCACGGTGTCACGACACCCACGGTGTCACGACATCCACAGCATCACCCACAGTGTCACGACATCCACGGTGTCACGACATCCACAGCATCACCCACGGTGTCACGACACCCCCCACGGCACCCCCCACAGCACCCCCCGCAGTGTCAGGGCCTCGTGCTGCTGCTGGCGTGCAGCAGCAGGAGACAGCAGCCCAGGGCGGTGAGCAGCGTCAGGGCCAGCACGGCCGGCTCGTGGTCCAGGCTGCCCACGGGGACGGACAGCGCCTGCGGGCTGACCTCCTCCTGCTGCTGCTCCTCGCCAAGAGGGGGAGACCAGGGCCAGGCGGGGGGCACCAGCAGCAGCAGCAGGAGAGGGCGGGGGGAGTGGGGGGTCCGGTGGGGAGAGAGATCGTCAGCCATGTTCTCTACACTGGTGGATCAAGTGGCTCTCAAGAGTTGGTGTCACGCAGAGACCCACACAGAGATCCACAGACTCACACAGAGACTCAAACAGAGACCCAGAGACTCACACAGACTCGCACAGAGAGCCATAGACTCACACAGACTCACACACAGACCCACAGACTCACACACAGACCCATAGACTCACACAGACTCACACACAGACCCAAAGACTCACACAGACCCAAAGACTCGCACAGACCCAGAGACTCGCACAGACTCATACACAGACCCATAGACTCACACACAGACCCAGAGACTCACATAGACTCACACAGACCCAGAGATTCGCACAGACCCATAGACTCACACAGACTCACACAGACCCAGAGACTCGCACAGACTCATACACAGACCCATAGACTCACACACAGACCCAGAGACTCTCACAGACTCATACACAGACCCATAGACTCACACAGACTCACACACAGACCCAAAGACTCACACAGACTCACACACAGACCCAAAGACTCACACAGACTCACACACAGACCCAACTCACACACAGACCCAAAGACTCACACAGACTCACACACAGACCCAAAGACTCGCACAGACCCAGAGACTCGCACAGACTCATACACAGACCCATAGACTCACACACAGACCCATAGACTCACACACAGACCCAGAGACTCACATAGACTCACACAGACCCAGAGACTCACATAGACTCACACAGACCCAGAGATTCGCACAGACCCATAGACTCACACAGACTCACACAGACCCAGAGACTCGCACAGACTCATACACAGACCCATAGACTCACACACAGACCCAGAGACTCGCACAGACTCATACACAGACCCATAGAGTCACACACAGACCCATAGACTCACACAGACTCACACACAGACCCATAGACTCACACAGACTCACACACAGACCCAGAGACTCGCACACAGACCCATAGACTCACACAGACCCAGAGACTCACACAGACCCATAGACTCACACACTCATAGACTCACACAGACTCATACACAGACCCAGAGACTCACACAGACTCATACACAGACCCACACACAGACCCATAGACTCACACAGACTCATACATAGACTCACACATAGACCCAGAGACTCGCACAGACCCATAGACTCACACAGACTCATACACAGACCCAGAGGCTCACACAGACTCATACACAGACCCACACACAGACCCAGAGACTCACACACAGACCCAGAGACTCATACACAGACCCAGAGACTCACACAGACTCACACACAGACCACAGACTCACACAGACCCAGAGACTCACACAGACTCACACAGACCATAGACTCACACAGAATCACACACAGACCCAGAGACTAACACAGACTCACACACAGACCCACAGACTCACACACAGACCCAGAGACTCACACACAGACTCACACACAGACTCACACACAGACCCAGAGACTCACACAGACTCACACACAGACCCAGAGACTCACAGAGGTCCATACTCGCACGGGTCATGTGTGCACGTCTCACATCGTCTCTGAACAGGTGTGCGCCACTCACGTCATCGTTAGTAAGGTGTGTGACGTCATCGTCGTTACTAAGCTGTGTGACGTCGTGACTAAGCTGTGTGTGACATCATCGTCATGACTAAGCTGTGTGTGTGTGACATCATCGTTGTGACTAAGCTGTGTGTGTGTGTGACATCATCGTCGTGTCTAAGCTGTGTGTGTGACATCGTCGTGACTAAGCCGTGTGTGTGTGACATCATCGTAGTGTCTAAGCCGTGTGTGTGTGACATCATCGTCGTGACTAAGCCGTGTGTGTGTGACATCGTCGTGACTAAGTCGTGTGTGTGTGACATCATCGTCGTGACTAAGCCGTGTGTGTGTGACATCATCGTCGTGACTAAGCCGTGTGTGTGTGACATCATCGTCGTGACTAAGCCGTGTGTGTGTGACATCATCGTCGTGACTAAGCCGTGTGTGTGTGACATCATCGTCGTGACTAAGCCGTGTGTGTGTGACATCATCATCGTGACTAAGCCGTGTGTGTGTGACATCATCGTCGTGACTAAGCCGTGTGTGTGACATCATCGTCGTGTCTAAGCTGTGTGTGTGACATCATCGTCGTGACTAAGCCGTGTGTGTGTGACATCATCGTAGTGTCTAAGCCGTGTGTGTGTGACATCATCGTCGTGACTAAGCCGTGTGTGTGTGACATCGTCGTGACTAAGTCGTGTGTGTGTGACATCATCGTCGTGACTAAGCCGTGTGTGTGTGACATCATCGTCGTGACTAAACCGTGTGTGTGTGACATCATCGTCGTGACTAAGCCGTGTGTGTGTGACATCATCGTCGTGACTAAGCCGTGTGTGTGTGTGACATCATCGTCGTTTCTAAGCCGTGTGTGTGTGACATCATCGTCGTGACTAAGCTGTGTGTGACATCATCGTCGTGACTAAGCCGTGTGTGTGTGACATCATCGTCGTGACTAAGCCGTGTGTGTGTGACATCATCGTCGTGACTAAGCTGTGTGTGTGTGATATCATCGTCGTGACTAAGCCGTGTGTGTGTGACATCATCATCGTGACTAAGCCGTATGTGTGTGACATCATCGTCGTGACTAAGCCGTGTGTGTGTGACATCATCGTCGTGACTAAGCTGTGTGTGACATCATCGTCATGACTAAGCTGTGTGTGTGACGTCATCGTCGTGACTAAGCTGTGTGTGTGACATCGTCGTGACTAAGCTGTGTGTGACATCATCGTCGTGACTAAGCTGTGTGTGTGACATCATCGTCGTGTCTAAGCTGTGTGTGACATCATCGTCGTGTCTAAGCTGTGTGTGACATCATCGTCGTGTCTAAGCTGTGTGTGACATCATCATCGTGACTAAGCTGTGTGTGACATCGTCATGACTAAGCTGTGTGTGACATCGTCGTGACGAAGCTGTGTGTGTGTGACATCATCGTCGTGACTAAGCTGTGTGTGCGACATCATCGTCGTGACTAAGCTGTGTGTGACATCATCGTCGTGACGAAGCTGTGTGTGACATCATCGTCGTGACTAAGCTGTGTGTGACATCATCGTCGTGACTAAGCTGTGTGTGTGACATCATCGTCGTGACTAAGCTGTGTGTGTGTGACATCATCGTCGTGTCTAAGCTGTGTGCAACATCATCGCCGTGACTAAGCTGTGTGTGACATCATCGTCGTGACTAAGCTGTGTGTGTGTGTGACATCATCGTCGTGACGAAGCTGTGTGTGACATCATCGTCGTGACTAAGCTGTGTGTGTGTGACATCATCGTCGTGTCTAAGCTGTGTGACATCATTGTCGTGTCTAAGCTGTGTGTGACATCATCGTCGTGTCTAAGCTGTGTGTGACATCATCGTCGTGACTAAGCTGTGTGTGACATCGTCATGACTAAGCTGTGTGTGACATCATCGTCGTGACGAAGCTGTGTGTGTGTGACATCATCGTCGTGACTAAGCTGTGTGTGCGACATCATCGCCGTGACTAAGCTGTGTGTGACATCATCGTCGTGACGAAGCTGTGTGTGACATCGTCGTGACTAAGCTGTGTGTGACATCATCGTCGTGACGAAGCTGTGTGTGTGTGACATCATCGTCGTGACTAAGCTGTGTGTGACATCATCGTCGTGACGAAGCCGTGTGTGTGTGACATCATCGTCGTGACTAAGCTGTGTGTGTGTGACATCATCATCATGTCTAAGCTGTGTGTGTGTGACATCATCGTCGTGACTAAGCTGTGTGACATCATCGTCGTGACGAAGCTGTGTGTGACATCATCGTCATGACGAAGCCGTGCCCCACTCACGGCGACGAGGGTGGCTCTCCTCCACAGGCAGACCGTTTGGTTGGTGGCCGAGCAGGGGCCCTCCGTGACGTCACGCGGAGCCGCCCCGTCACACGGCCGCCCCGCTGGGGGAACGATTGGGGGAGAGATTGGGTGAGCGGGTGGGCCATGGTCGAGTGTGTAGATGGTCGAGTGTGTGGGTGAGCGGGTGGGCCATGGTCGAGTGTGTAGATGGTCGAGTGTGTGAGTGAGCGGGTGGGTCATGGTCGAGTGTGTAGATGGTCGAGTGTGTGGGTGAGCGGGTGGGTCATGGTCGAGTGTGTAGATGGTCGAGTGTGTGAGTGAGCGGGTGGGTCATGGTCGAGTGTGTAGATGGTCGAGTGTGTGAGTGAGCGGGTGGGCCATGGTCGAGTGTGTAGATGGTCGAGTGTGTGAGTGAGCGAGCGAGAGAGCGGGTGGGTGGGCGGAGCGAGCGTGTGGGTGGGTGATTGAACGGGTGGGTGGAGATTGAACTGGTGGGTGGGTGATTGAACTGGTGGGTGGGTGATTGAACGGGTGGGTGGGTGATTGAACTGGTGGGTGGTGATTGAACGGGTGGGTGATTGAACTGATGGGTGGGTGATTGAACGGGTGGGCGGGTGATTGAACGGGTGGGCGGGTGATTGAACGGGTGGGCGGGTGATTGAACTGGTGGGTGGGTGATTGAACTGGTGGGTGGGTGATTGAACGGGTGGGTGGGTGATTGAACTGGTGGGTGGTGATTGAACGGGTGGGTGATTGAACTGATGGGTGGGTGATTGAACTGGTGGGTGGGTGATTGAACTGGTGGGTGGGTGATTGAACGGGTGGGCGGGTGATTGAACTGGTGGGCGGGTGATTGAATTGGTGGGTGGGCAAGCGAGTGGGGTGAGCGGGCGGGTGGGCGAGCGAGTAGGTGAGCGGGCGGGCGAGTGGGTGTGCGAGCAAGAGGGCGAGTGAGCGAACGAGTGAGTGGGTGTGCGGACGAGTGTGCGAGCGAACGAGTGGGTGAGCGAGTGGGCGAGCGAGCGAACGAGCGTGCGAGCGAGAGGGCGTGCGAGCGAAGGAGTGTGCGTGCGAACGAGCGAGCGAATGAGCGAGCGTGCGAGCGAACGTGCGAGCGAACGAGCGAACGTGCAGGCGAACGAACGAGCGTGCGAACGAGCGTGCGGGCCTTACGGGAGTCGCACGGCAGCAGCACGAGGGGGCCGCCGAGCAGCACGTGGGCGCGAGGCGGCCGGCCGGGCTGTGCGGGCGCGTGGTAGCGCAGGTGGACGGGCAGGGAGACGTTGGCCGTCCAGGCCGGTCCCCCGCCGCTGGCGACGGCGACGGCGGCGGCGGAGATGAACACCAGGAGCTGGAGCGGAGCGGCGCGCGAGGCCGGAGCCTCCACGTCCACGCGGGACAGGAACACGGCCTGGGAGTGGCGCGCAAACTCCGACCCCGAGAGTTCGTAGGGGTCGGAGTAGAGGCCGGCGGGGAGAGTCTCCCGCAGCAGCACCACCTGCGGGGCTGGGCCCCGGCCCGAAACGACGGACACCAGCTCCCTGGGGTGTGCGGTGGGTGGGGGGGTGGAGAGCGAGACACACGGGGAGAGACGCGGGGACACATGCACACACACACAGATAGACACACAGTCACACACACAGAGACACACACATACATACACACACAGAGACACACACACACACACAAAGGTCCCCCGTGTAGCCTGCAACAGACTGTTGGGGCAAGTGCTGTTAGCGAGCAGCACCTATGAAGGCCGGAACGGCACACGAGGGGGTGGGTGGCCAGCACCACGCCCGGCCGCCTTTGTCTCCCCGGTGGCGACGTTTACCACACACCGCACCGGGTCACTCGTTTGAGGCCGAGTCGACCTAGGGGAGGCCCGGGACCGGTTCAGATAATCGTCACCACCGGTGTTGGTAGCCGTTGAGTGTAGCGCAGCACGCTAACCGCTATACTACCACCACCATCTCCACCGCCTGTTGTAAGTCTATGGGGTCTCTGTGTGAGACTATGCATCTGTGTGCGGGTGTGTGGGTGTGTGGGGAGCGGTGGTGCAGCGGTTAGCGCCACGCTGCGCTATGAACCCGGCGACCCGAGTTCGATTCCCGCTCATGGCCAACACCAGTGACGATTATCTGAACCGGTCCCCGGGCCTCCCCTAGGTCGACTCAGCCTCAAATGAGTACCTGGTGCGGTGTGTAGTAAACATCGCCACTGGGGAGACAAAGGCGGTCGGGCGTGGTGCTGGCCACCCACCCCCTCGTGTGCCGTTCCGGCCTTCATAGGTGCTCGCTAACAGCACTTGCCCCTACAGTCTGTTACAGGCTACACGGGGGATCTTTGTCTTTTTTTGTGTGTGTGTGTGTGAGAGTCAGGGCTTTGGGTTTCTGTGCCAGTCTCCTACTGGATCTACGTTCGTTAATGGGGCCCCGGGCTAGTGGCTAGGAGATGTCATCTCCCTCGCCCTGTGTGCAGGAGGTCGTGGGTTCACTCACCGATGGAAGCCCGAGTTGAGAACTCTCCTCGTCACTTGTACAAGCCCGGTCTCCTGCGAGTCACCTACGCACGGTCGAGTCAGCAGCAGAGCGCTCGGGTTGGGTATGGCCCGATGGGGAGCTCTCGCTCGGTTAAATTGAGGACGTCGCTTGCACAGAGACGGTGAGTCCAAAATCGAGGGGGGGGGTTTGTTTTGGGGGGGGGGGGGTTTGGTCGCGTAAATATATAAATGTGTCGCTAAACCCGCCACCGCCCGACACAGCCGACTAGTAAGGTTTGTGTCACGTAAACAGAACGTGGCCAATTCGTTACTGGTGCAGTGACAGGGGAGTCAGCCTGCAGTGTGAGTGGACTGGTGGCCACGGGAGGTAGTGACAGGGGAGTCAGCTGTGAGTGTGAAGGGACTGGTGGCCACGGGAGGTAGTGACAGGGGAGTCAGCTGTGAGTGTGAAGGGACTGGTGGCCACGGGAGGTAATGACAGGGGAGTCAGCCTCCAGTGCGAGTGGACTGGTGGCCACGGGAGGTAATGACAGGGGAGTCAGTTGTGAGTGTGAGTGGACTGGTGGCCACGGGAGGTAATGACAGGGGAGTCAGCCTCCAGTGCGAGTGGACTGGTGGCCACGGGAGGTAATGACAGGGGAGTCAGCTGTGAGTGTGAAGGGACTGGTGGCCACGGGAGGTAATGACAGGGGAGTCAGCCGTGAGTTTGAGTGGACTGGTGGTCACGGGAGGTAATGACAGGGGAGTCAGCTGTGAGTGTGAAGGGACTGGTGGCCACAGGAGGTAATGACAGGGGAGTCAGCTGTGAGTGTGAGAGGACTGGTGGCCACGGGAGGTAGTGACAGGGGAGTTAGCTGTGAGTGTGAAGGGACTGGTGGCCAAGGGAGGTAATGACAGGGGAGTCAGCTGTGAGTGGACTGGTGGCCACGGGAGGTAGTGACAGGGGAGTCAGCTCTGAGTGTGAAGGGACTGATGGCCACGGGAAGTAATGACAGGGGAGTCAGCTGTGAGTGTGAAGGGACTGGTGGCCACGGGAGGTAATGACAGGGGAGTCAGCCGTGAGTTTGAGTGGACTGGTGGCCACGGGAGGTAATGACAGGGGAGTCAGCTGTGAGTGTGAAGGGACTGGTGGTCACGGGAGGTAATGACGGGGGAGTCAGCCTGCATCGCGAAGGGACTGGTGGCCACGGGAATGACCGAGAACCGGAGCGTGGCCAGGTGATGGAAGAGGACGGCAGTCTGCTGGCAGAGCGAGCGGTCTAGGACCAGCGAGAAGGTTCCGGAGTGGGGGCGTGGCCTCCTGTCGCTATATAAGGGGGAGATGCGCGGGAGACTCGGGGCTGTTGCGGTGGGGGGGGTCTCCGCCTGTTCGAGCGAACGCCTCTTCAATAAAATAAACCATCTCAAGAGAGTGTGTCGAGTCGTCATTACACGAGAACAGCAGCACCGGTGTGTTGGAGGGCAAATCCACGTCGGAGTACACTAGTGCTGTACTAGTACACCACACTATACACTACACTATACACTACACTATACACTACACTACACACTACACTACACACTAGTGCTGTACTAGTACACTACACTATACACTACACTATACACTACACTACACACTAGTGCTGTACTAGTACACTACACTATACACTAGTGCTGTACTAGTACACTACACTATACACTACACTATACACTAGTGCTGTACTAGTACACTACACTATACACTACACTATACACTAGTGCTGTACTAGTACACTACACTATACACTACACTAGTGCTGTACTAGTACACTACACTATACACTAGTGCTGTACTAGTACACTACACTATACACTACACTATACACTATTGCTGTACTAGTACACTACACTATACACTAGTGCTGTACTAGTACACTACACACTACACTACACTATACACTAGTGCTGTACTAGTACACTACACTACACACTACACTATACACTAGTGCTGTACTAGTACACTACACTATACACTAGTACTGTACTAGTACACTACACTATACACTACACACTAGTGCTGTACTAGTACACCACACTACACACTAGTGCTGTACTAGTATACTACACTATACACTAGTGCTGTACTAGTATACTACACTATACACTACACTATATACTAGTGCTGTACTAGTATACTACACTATACACTACACTATACACTACACTATACACTAGTGCTGTAATAGTACACTACACTATACACTACACACTAGTGCTGTACTAGTACACTACACTATACACTACACACTAGTGCTGTACTAGTACACTACACTATACACTACACTATACACTACACTACTATACACTACACACTACACTATACACTAGTGCTGTACGAGTATACTACACTATACACTACACTACACACTGTACTGTACTAGTACACTACACTAGACACTACACTATACACTAGTGCTGTACTAGTATACTACACTATACACTACACTATACACTACACACTAGTGCTGTACTAGTATACTACACTATACACTACACACCAGTGCTGTACTAGTACACTACACTATACACTACACACTAGTGCTGTACTAGTACACTACACTATACACTACACTATACACTAGTGCTGTACTAGTACACTACACTATACACTACACACTACACACTATACACTACACACTACACTATACACTACACTATACACTACACTATACATTACACTATACACTACACTATACACTACACTATAATACACTACACTATACACTACACTATACATTACACTATACACTACACTATATACTACACTATACACTACACTATACACTAGTGCTGTACTAGTACACTACACTATACACTACACTATACACTAGTGCTGTACTAGTACACTACACTATACACTACACACTAGTGCTGTACTAGTACACTACACTATACACTACACACTAGTGCTGTACTAGTACACTACACTATACACTACACACTAGTGCTGTACTAGTACACTACACTATACACTAGTGTTGTACTAGTATACTACACTATACACTACACTATACACTACACACTAGTGTTGTACTAGTACACTACACTATACACTAGTGCTGTGCTGTACTAGTACACTACACTATACACTACACTATATACTACACTATACACTAGTGCTGTACTAGTATACTACACTATACACTACACTATACACTAGTGCTGTACTAGTACACTACACACTACACTATACATTACACTATACACTACACTATACACTACACTATACACTAGTGCTGTACTAGTACACTACACTACACACTACACTATACACTACACACTACACTATACACTACACTATACACTAGTGCTGTACTAGTACACTACACTACACACTACACTATACATTACACTATACACTACACTATACACTACACTACTATACACTACACTATACACTAGTGCTGTACTAGTACACTACACTATACACTACACTACTATACACTACACTATACACTACACAATACACTACACTATACACTACACTATACACTACACTATACACTACACACTACACTATACACTACACACTAGTGCTGTACTAGTAACGAATTGGCCACATTCGACGCCACCTCACCCCGAACACAACAACCTCGACTTCGTGTTCACGAGCGGACGAGACTCAAGGGGGGAGATCTCACCTGCAGTAGCCAACATCAGCAGCAGGTGGTACAGGGCGGATCTCAACATCACCGACGCGCCCACAACACCATCAACACCATCACCAACGTGCCCACAACACCATCAACACCATCACCAACGTGCCCACATCACCATCAACACCACCATCACCACCCACGCCGCCTACCCCTAACTAAGATGGCGACGCGGCCACCTCACCCCCTTACTTCCCCGTTTAGTAACCTTCGGTCGTCAATAACCGCCCTCAAGGCAGCTTTCGTGGTTAAAAAGTGAAGAATTGTCGAGAGGAATCTGCCTCCGGGGCATTATTTGATCGCGAAGCTAGAACCGCGCGCGCGTGCTGCCTCAGCCGTGACGTCACCCGATGAAGCTAACGCTGTGACGTCATCCGGAAGCGTTCCTCGGCAACGGCTTGAACGCGCCGACGTCGCATCGCCCTATGGGGTTTTTAGTTAAAACGTCATGTCACGCCACGCGCAAAAGCTTGGACACGATGACGTCACCGGGACCGTATCAAACGTGGTGACGTCGCCTGACATCGGGACCGCGATAACGTAATTGGGACATTCTCAAACGCGATGACGTTGCCCGATTAAGACGTCATCGCGTTCAAGCGATTTGGGTGAGACGCTTCCAGAAAACGAGTTTTACGTCACGTCCCCTGAACGATTAAACGTAATGACGTCACGTAACGGATGTATCACTTTGCTTGGTGCGCGATGACGTCACTCGAAAAGCGCGGTGACGTCGAATATAAGCGTTCGCCGCTCGTTTGTTAATGCGTCATGTCGCACCAATAGGTTGCAGGCGCGGGCGTCGTGATGAAGATAAAAATAATCATCATGATGACTGCTGCTGCTTCTGCTGCTTCTGTTGCTGCTTCTGCTGCTGATGAGACACCGAATGTCGAAACCGAAGCAGAGTCGGCTGCTTTAATGACGCACTCCCCATGCGGCTGATGAGGGGGATGCGCGGTGACGTCACGACCACCCCCCCCGCCACGCGGTGACGTCACAACCACCACCTCTCCCCCGCCACGCGCTGCGCGGTGACGTCACGACCGCAGACCCCCACGCGCTACGCGGTGACGTCACGACAAACCCCTCCCCCCACACGCGCTGCGTGGTGACGTCACGACCACCGCATACCCCCTGCGTCATGACGTCAAGACCCCCCCACACACACACACGCGCTGCGCGTTGACGTCACCGCGTCAATCCGGCATGGAGTCACGGGTAGGAGCGGTCTGAGTGAGAGTCCCAGGTAAACCGCTCCTCGCGTCTAAATCTCTCCTCTCTCGTGTGCGTCTCTCTCTCGTCTCTCTCCTCTCTCTCATGTGCGTCTCCCTTGCTTCTCCCTTGCTTCTCCCATGCTTCTCCCTCGCTTGTCTCTCTCCTCTCTCTCGCTTGTCTCTCTCGCGTCTCCCATGCTTCTCCCTCGCTGCTGCTGCTGGCGCCGCTTCCCCGACGCTTCTCCCATGCTTCTCCATTGCTTCTCCATTGCTTCTCTCTTGCTTCTCCCATGCTTCTCCCTCGCTTCTCCATTGCTTCTGCCTTGCTTCTGCCTTGCGTCTCCCTTGCTTCTCCCATGCTTCTCCCTTGCGTCTCCCTTGCTTCTCTCTTGCTTCCCCCATGCTTCTCCCATGCGTCTCCCTTGCTTCTCCATTGCTTCTCTCATGCTTCTCCCTTGCGTCTCCCTAGCTTCTCCATTGCTTCTCCCATGCTTCTCCCATGCTTCTCCATTGCTTCTCCCATGCTTCTCCCATGTTTCTCCCTTGCTTCACCCTTGCGTCTCCCTTGCGTCTCCCTTGCTTCTCCCTTGCTTCTCCCATGCTTCTCCCATGTTTCTCCCTTGCTTCTCCCATGCTTCTCCCTTGCTTCTTCCATGCTTCTCCTTTGCTTCTCCCTTGCTTCTCCATTGCTTCTGCCTTGCGTCTCCCATGCTTCTCCCTTGCTTCTCCCTCGCTGCTGCGTTGCTTCTGCGACTGCTGGGCAGTGACGCGGGTGGCTGCTACTGGAGCTGATCGTGATCATGCTGCTGATGATGTTGATGATGCTACTGCTGATGATGATGTTGATGATGCTACTGCTGATGATGTTGCTGATGATGATGTTGATGATGCCACTACTGCTGATGATGTTGCTACTGCTGATGATGATGATGCTACTGCTGCTGATGATGATGTTGCTACTGCTGATGATGTTGATAATGCTACTGCTGCTGATGATGTTGCTACTGCTGATGATGTTGCTGATGATGATGCTGCTGATGATGATGTTGCTACTGCTGATGATGATGTTGATGCTACTGCTGCTGCTGATGTTGCTACTGCTGATGATGCTACTGCTGATGATGATTATGTTGATGATGCTACTGCTGCTGATGATGTTGCTACTGCTGATATTGCTGATGATGATGTTGATGATGCTACTGCTGATGATGTTGCTACTGCTGATGATGATGCTGCTGATGATGTTGCTACTGCTGATGATGATGCTGCTGATGTTGCTACTGCTGCTGATGATGATGCTGATGATGTTGCTACTGCTGCTGATGATGCTACTGTTGCTGATGATGTTGCTACTGCTGATGATGATGCTGCTGATGATGATGTTGATGATGCTACTGGTGCTGATGATGTTGCTACTGCTGATGATGTCGCTACTGCTGATGATGATGATGTTGCTGATGATGATGTTGCTGCTGCTGATGATGATGCTGATGATGTTGCTACTGCTGATGATGATGCTACTGTTGATGATGATGCTACTGCTGATGATGATGCTGATGTTGCTACTGCTGCTGATGATGCTGATGATGATGTTGCTACTGCTGATGATGTTGCTACTGCTGATGATGATGTTGCTACTGCTGCTGCTGATGTTGCTACTGCTGCTGATGATGCTGATGATGATATTGCTGATGATGATGTTGATGATGCTACTGCTGATGATGTTGCTACTGCTGATGATGTTGCTACTGCTGATGATGATGCTGCTGATGATGTTGCTACTGCTGATGATGATGCTGCTGATGTTGCTACTGCTGCTGATGATGCTGCTGCTGATGATGATGCTGATGATGATGATGTTGCTACTGCTGCTGATGATGCTACTGCTGATGATGTTGCTACTGCTGCTGCTGATGTTGCTACTGCTGATGATGCTGATGATGATGCTGCTGCTGATGATGTTGATGATGCTACTGCTGCTGATGATGTTGCTACTGCTGATGATGTTGCTACTGCTGATGATGATGCTGATGATGTTGCTGATGATGATGTTGCTACTGCTGATGATGATGCTGATGATGATGTTGCTACTGCTGATGATGATGCTACTGCTGATGATGATGCTACTGCTGATGATTATGCTGATGTTGCTACTGCTGCTGATGATGATGTTGCTACTGCTGATGATGTTGCTAATGCTGATGATGATGATGTTGCTACTGCTGCTGATGATGTTGCTACTGCTGCTAATGATGATGCTGATGATGTTGCTACTGCTGCTGATGATGCTGCTGATGTTGCTACTGCTGATGATGATGCTACTGCTGATGATGATGATGCTGCTGATGATGTTGATGATGCTACTGCTGATGATGATGCTACTGCTGATGATGATGCTACTGCTGATGATGTTGCTACTGCTGCTGCTGATGATGTTGCTACTGCTGATGATGATGATGTTGATGTTGCTACTGCTGCTGCTGATGCTACTGCTGATGATGTTGCTACTGCTGCTGCTGATGATGTTGCTACTGCTGATGATGCTGATGATGATGCTGCTGATGATGCTACTGCTGCTGATGATGTTGCTACTGCTGATGATGTTGCTGCTGCTGATGATGTTGCTGATGATGATGATGTTGCTACTGCTGATGATGCTGCTGATGATGATGTTGCTACTGCTGATGATGATGCTACTGCTGATGATGATGCTACTGCTGATGATGATGCTGATGTTGCTACTGCTGCTGATGATGCTGATGATGATGTTGCTACTGCTGATGATGTTGCTACTGCTGATGATGATGTTGCTACTGCTGCTGATGATGTTGCTACTGCTGCTGATGATGCTGATGATGATGCTACTGCTGATGATGATGATGCTGCTGATGATGTTGCTACTGCTGCTGATGATGCTGCTGATGTTGCTACTGCTGATGATGATGCTACTGCTGCTGATGATGATGCTGCTGATGATGTTGATGTTGCTACTGCTGATGATGATGCTACTGCTGATGATGATGCTACTGTTGATGATGTTGCTACTGCTGCTGCTGATGATGATGTTGCTACTGCTGCTGATGATGATGCTGATGCTGCTGATGATGTTGATGATGCTGCTGCTGATGATGTTGATGATGCTACTGCTGCTGATGATGTTGCTACTGCTGATGATGTTGCTGATGATGATGTTGCTACTGCTGATGATGTTGCTACTGCTGATGATGATGTTGCTACTGCTGCTGATGATGCTGATGATGATGTTGCTACTGCTGATGATGTTGCTGCTGATGATGTTGCTGTAGATGATGATGCTGAAACTGCTCATGATGATGTTTCTACTGCTAATGATGTTGCTGCTGATGATGATGGAAGTGATGTTTACATAGACTTGCACAGAGACCCATAGACTCAAACAGAGACCCATAGACTCACACGGAGGCCCACAGACTTACACAGAGACCCATAGACTCACATAGAGACCCACAGACTCACACAGAGACCCATAGACTCACACGGAGGCCCACAGACTCAAACAGAGACACATAGACACACAGAGACCCATAGACTCACATAGAGACCCACAGACTCACACAGAGACCCATAGACTCACACGGAGGCCCACAGACTCAAACAGAGACACATAGACACACAGAGACCCATAGACTCACATAGAGACCCACAGACTCACACAGAGACCCATAGACTCACACGAAGTCCCATAGACTCACACAGAGACCCACAGACTCACACAGAGACCCATAGACTCACACAGAGACCCATAGACTCACGTAGGACCCATAGACTCAGAGACCCATAGACTCAGAGACCCATAGACTAACACAGAGACCCATGACTCACACAAAGACCCATAGACTCACACAGAGACCCACAGACTCACACGGAGTCCCATAGACTCAAACGGAGACCCACAGACTCACACGGAGACCCACAGACTCACACAGAGACCCATAGACTCACGTAGGACCCATAGACTCAGAGACCCTTAGACTAACATAGAGACCCATAGACTCACACACAGACCCATAGACTCACAGAGACCCATAGACTCACACGGAGACCCGCAGACTCACACGGAGACCCATAGACTCACGTAGGACCCATAGACTCACATAGAGACCCATAGACTCACGTAGGACCCATAGACTCAGAGACCCATAGACTAACATAGAGACCCATAGACTCACACAGAGACCCATAGACTCACATGGAGACCAATAGACTCACACAGAGACCCATAGACTCACATAGAGACCCATAGACTCACATGGAGACCAATAGACTCACACAGAGACCCATAGACTCAAAGACCCATAGACTCACACAGAGACCCATAGACTCACACAGAGACCCATAGACTCAAACGGAGACCAATAGACTCGCACAGAGACCCAAAGACTCGCACAGAGACCCATAGACTCGCACAGAGACCCATAGACTCACACGGAGACCCATAGACTCACACAGAGACCCATAGACTCACACGGAAACCCATAAACTCAGAGACCCATAGACTCACACAGAGACCCATAGACTCACACAGAGATCCATAGACTCACAAAGAGACCCACAGACTCACACGGAGACCCATAGACTCACACAGAGACCCATAGACTCACGTAGGACCCATAGATTCAGAGATCCATAGACTCACACGGAGACCCATAGACTCAGAGACCCATAGACTCACACAGAGACCCATAGACTCACACGGAGACCCATAGACTCAGAGACCCATAGACTCGCACAGAGACCCATAGACTCACGTAGGACCCATAGACTCACACAGAGACCCATAGACTAACATAGAGACCCATAGACTCGCACAGAGAACCATAGACTCACACGGAGACCCATAGACTCACACGGAAACCCATAAACTCAGAGACCCATAGACTAACATAGAGACCCATAGACTCACACAGAGACCCATAGACTCACAAGGAGACCCACAGACTCACACGGAGACCCGTAGACTCACACAGAGACCCATAGACTCACACAGAGACCCATAGCCTCACGTAGGACCCATAGACTCAGAGACCCATAGACTCACACGGAGACCCATAGACTCAGAGACCCATAGACTCACACAGAGACCCATAGACTCACACGGAGACCCATAGACTCACACAGAGACCCATAGACTCACACAGAGACCCATAGACCCACACCTAGGGATTGAACCCAGGTCCTGAGTGTCTCTGACACACACACAGCTAGAGAGAGACCCACACCTAGGGATTGAACCCAGGTCCCCAGTGTCTCTGACACACACACAGCTAGAGAGAGAGAAACCCACACCTGGGGATTGAACCCAGGTCCTGAGTGTCTCTGACACTCACACACAGCTAGAGAGAGACCCACACCTAGGAATTGAACCCAGGTCCTCAGTGTCTCTGACACACACACAACTAGAGAGAGACCCACACCTAGGGATTGAACCCAGGTCCTGAGTGTCTCTGACACACACACACTAGAGAGAGAGAGACTCCCACACCTGGGGATTGAACCCAGGTACCCAGTGTCTCTGACACACACACAGCTAGAGAGAGAGACCCACACCTGGGGATTGAACCCAGGTCCCCAGTGTCTCTGACACACACACAGCTAGAGAGAGACTCCCACACATGGGGATTGAACCCAGGTCCCCAGTGTCTCTGACACACACACAGCTAGAGAGAGATAGACCCACACCTGGGGATTGAACCCAGGTCCCCAGTGTCTCTGACACACACACACAGCTAGAGAGAGTCCCACACCTGGGGATTGAACCCAGGTCCCCAGTGTCTCTGACACTCACACAGCTAGAGACTCCCACACCTAGGGATTGAACCCAGGTCCTCAGTGTCTCTGACACACACACAACTAGAGAGAGACTCCCACACCTGGGGATTGAACCCAGGTCCCCAGTGTCTCTGACACACACACACAGCTAGAGAGAGAGAGACCCACACCTGGGGATTGAACCCAGGTCCCCAGTGTCTCTGACACACACACAGCTAGAGAGAGAGTCCCACACCTAGGGATTGAACCCAGGTCCCCAGTGTCTCTGACACACACACAGCTAGAGAGAGACTCCCACACCTGGGGATTGAACCCAGGTCCCCAGTGTCTCTGACACACACACAACTAGAGAGAGAGAGACTCCCACACCTAGGGATTGAACCCAGGTCCTCAGTGTCTCTGACACACACACAGCTAGAGAGAGAGAGATACTCCCACACCTAGGGATTGAACCCAGGTCCTGAGTGTCTCTGACACACACACAGCTAGAGAGAGACTCACACCTAGGGATTGAACCCAGGTCCTGAGTGTCTCTGACACACACACAGCTAGAGATAGAGAGAGACTCCCACACCTAGGGATTGAACCCAGGTCCCCAGTGTCTCTGACACACACACAGCTAGAGAGAGACCCACACCTAGGGATTGAACCCAGGTCCTGAGTGTCTCTGACACACACACAGCTAGAGAGAGACCCACACCTAGGGATTGAACCCAGGTCCCCAGTGTCTCTGACACACACACAGCTAGAGAGAGACTCCCACACCTAGGGATTGAACCCAGGTCCCCAGTGTCTCTGACACACACACAGCTAGAGAGAGACACCCACACCTAGGGATTGAACCCAGGTCCCCAGTGTCTCTGACACACACACAGCTAGAGAGAGAGAGAGACCCACACCTGGGGATTGAACCCAGGTCCTGAGTGTCTCTGACACACACACAGCTAGAGAGAGACCCACACCTAGGGATTGAACCCAGGTCCTGAGTGCCTCTGACACACACACAGCTAGAGAGACACCCACACCTAGGGATTGAACCCAGGTCCTGAGTGTCTCTGACACACAGCTAGAGAGAGAAACCCACACCTAGGGATTGAACCCAGGTCCCCAGTGTCTCTGACACACACACAGCTAGAGAGAGACCCACACTGGGGATTGAACCCAGGTCCTCAGTGTCTCTGACACACACACAGCTAGAGAGAGAGAGACCCACACCTAGGGATTGAACCCAGGTCCCCAGTGTCTCTGACACACACACAGCTAGAGAGAGACCCACACCTAGGGATTGAACCCAGGTCCTGAGTGTCTCTTACACACACACACAACTAGACCTGCATAGCTCCGTGAGCCTTAGCTGGTAAAATCAAACTGAGTTTCTATCTCTGACCTTTCCCCCCAGATCTCCCGTGCCCCCACCCACTGCCCCATCCCACCCCCCCCCCCCCCCCCACCACGTGAGGCTGCCCGCGAGCGATTGGGGGGGGGCACGGGACAGACCCAGGTGGCATGGGCTGCCCGACTGAAAACACAAATACAACTCTCAAATAATATCGACATAGTTTAGTTGTATAGTCAACCTCTCTGTCTGCCCCCCCCCTGCCTCTCCCCCAGGTCTCGCCCCACAGCCCCCCACCCCCCGCACTACCCCCATGAGGCTGCCCGCGAGCGATTGGGGGGGGGCACGGGACAGACCCAGGTGGCATGGGCTGCCCGACTGAAAACACAAATACAACTCTCAAATAATATCGACATAGTTTAGTTGTATAGTCAACCTCTCTGTCTGCCCCCCCCCCCTGCCTCTCCCCCAGGTCTCGCCCCACAGCCCCCCACCCCCCGCACTACCCCCATGAGGCTGCCCACGAGCGATTGGGGGGGGGGCACGGGACAGACCCAGGTGGCATGGGCTGCCCGACTGAAAACACAAATACAACTCTCAAATAATATCGACATAGTTTAGTTGTATAGTCAACCTCTCTGTCTGCCCCCCCCCCCCCCCCACCCTGCCTCTCCCCCCCTCGCCCAGGTCTCGCCACACCGCCCCATGGGCTGTCCGCGAGCGACGGGGGGTGCTGGCCGGCTGCCCCCGCGAGCCCTGCAGCTGATCCTCTCGTTCGTGGAGCTGGCCGACCTGGGCCGCTGTGCCCGCGTGTGCCGCCACTGGCAGCGCTGCCTGGAGGACGAGGGCAGCGAGGTGTGGAGGGCGGCCTGCGCACGCCTGCTGCCCCACGACGCCCTGCAGGGGGACCTCCTGCGGGCCGTGCCCACCTACAAAGCCAAGGTGGGCGGGGCGGCCCTAGGGGGGAGAGGCCCCGGGGGGGAGAGGCCCCAGGGGGGGAGAGGCCCCAGGGGGGGCGCGGCCCCAGGGGGGAGAGGCCCCAGGGGGGGAGAGGCCCCGGGGGGAGAGGCCCCGGGGGGAGAGGCCCAGGGGGGAGAGGCCCAGGTGGAGAGGCCCCGGGGGAGAGGCCCAGGGGGAGAGGCCCCGGGGGGAGAGGCCCCGGGGGGAGAGGCCCCAGGGGGGAGAGGCCCTGGGGGAGAGAGCGGGGGGAGAGGCCCCGGGGGGAGCGGCCCCGGGGGGAGCGGCCCCAGGGGGGAGAGGCCCCGGGGGAGAGGCCCAGGGGGAGAGGCCCAGGGGGAGAGGCCCCGGGGGGAGAGGCCCCAGGGGGGAGAGGCCCAGGGGGAGCGGCCCCGGGGGGAGCGGCCCCGGGGGGAGCGGCCCCAGGGGGGAGCGGCCCCGGGGGGAGAGGCCCCGGGGCCGCTTCAGACGATCGTCACCGCCCGTGTCGGCCGTGAGCGGGAATCGAACTCGGGTCGCCGGGTTGGCGACGCGGCGCCATCGGCTATGCGGCCGCTCCCCAGACACACACATACATCACACACGCATTACACACATACATCACACATACATCACATACACATCACACACACATACACATACATCACACGCATCACACACACGCATCACACGCATCACACACACACATCACACACGCATCACACACACACACATACATCACACACGCATCACACACACACACATCACACACACACACATCACACACACATCAACACACACACACATACATCACACACACATCAACACACACACATCACACACACACATCACACACACACACATTACACACACATACACACACATCACACACATACATACACACACACACATACATCACACACACACACATACATCACACACACACATACATCACACACACACGTATCACACACACACATCACACACGCATCACACACACACACACATCACACACATCACACACACACATCACACACACATCACACACACATCACACACATACATCACACACATACATCACACACACACACATCACACACACATCACACACATACATCACACACATACATCACACACACATCACACACACATCGCACACACATCGCATCACACACACACATCACACATCAAACACACATCACACACATCACACATACATCACACACACACATCACACACACACACATCACACACACACATCACACACACATCACACACACATCACACACACATCACACACACACACATCACACACACATCACACACACATCACACACACATCACACACATACATCACACACATACATCACACACACATCACACACACATCGCACATACATCGCATCACACACACACATCAAACACACATCACACATCAAACACACATCACACACACATACATACATCACACACACACATCACACACACACATCACACATACATACATACATCACACACATCACACACACACATCACACACATCACACACACACATACATCACACACATGCACACGTCACACACACATCACACACACACACATCACACACACATCACACACACACGCACACATGCACACATCACACACGCACACATCACACACATACAGTGAGGGAAAAAAGTATTTGATCCCCTGCTGATTTTGTACGTTTGCCCACTGACAAAGAAATGATCAGTCTTTAATTGAAATGGTGGGTTTATTTGAACAGTGGGAGACAGAATAACAACGAAAAAATCCAGAAAAACGCATGTCGAAAATGTTATAAATTGATTTGCATTTTGATGAGGGAAATAACTATTTGACCCCCTCTCAATCAGAAAGATTTCTGGCTCCCAGCTGTCTTTTATTCAGGTAACGAGCTGAGAACCTCCTTCCCTCAGCCAGGGCATTGAAAATGGGTCGTGGATGGGTATTCCAGCATGACAATGACCCAAAATACACGGCCAAGGCAACAAAGGAGTGGCTCAAGAAGAAGCACATTAAGGTCCTGGAGTGGCCTAGCCAGTCTCCAGACCTTAATCCCATAGAAAATCTGTGGAGGGAGCTGAAGATTCGAGTTGCCAAACGTCAGCCTCGAAACCTTAATGACTTGGAGAAGATCTGCAAAGAGGAGTGGGACAAAATCCCTCCTGAGATGTGTGCAAACCTGGTGGCCAACTACAAGAAACGTCTGACCTCTGTGATTGCCAACAAGGGTTTTGCCACCAAGTACTAAGTCATGTTTTGCAGAGGGGTCAAATATTTATTTCCCTCATTAAAATGCAAATCAGTTTATAACATTTTTTGACATGCGTTTTTCTGGATTTTTTTGTTGTTATTCTGTCTCCCACTGTTCAAATAAACCTACCATTAAAATTATAGACTGATCATTTCTTTGTCAGTGGGCAAACGTACAAAATCAGCAGGGGCTCAAACACTTTTTTCCCTCCCTGTACATCACACACATACACGTACCCAAACGTGTACCCACACACATGCCCACACCACTCACCTGCATACCCACTCACCCACTCACCCACCACATCCATCCACTCACCCACCCACCCACCCACCGCCCCACTCACCCACCCACCCACCCACCGCCCCACTCACCCACCCACCCACCCACCGCCCCACTCACCCACCCACCCACCGCCCCACTCACCCACCCACCGCCCCACTCACCCACCACACCCACTCACCCACCACACCCACTCACCCACCACACCCACCACACCCACCACACCCACCTCACCCACCACACCCTCCACACCCATCCACTCACCTACCCCCCCACTGACTTAACCACCCACCCACCCACTGAATTACTCACCCACTCACCCACCCACTGACTTAACCACCCACCCACCGTCCTACTCACCCACCACACCCACTCACCTACTCACCCACCGACTCACCTACCACACCCACTCACCCACTCACCTACTCACCCACCACACCCACCTACTCACCCACCACACCCACTCACCCACCACACCCACTCACCCACCACACCCACTCACCCACCACACCCACTCACCGACCTACTCACCCACCACACCCACTCACCCACCCACTCACCGCCCTACTCACCCACCCACCGCCCTACTCAACCACCCACTGCCCTACTCACCCACCACACCCACTCACCCACCACACCCACTCACCCACCACACCCACCCACCGACCTACTCACCCACCACACCCACTCACCCACCCACTCACCGCCCTACTCACCCACCACACCCACTACACCCACCACACCCACTCACCCTACTCACCCACCACACCCACTCACCCACCACACCCACTCACCCACCACACCCACCCACTCACCACACACACCCACTCACCACACACACCCACTCACCCACCACACCCACCCACTCACCTACTCACCCACCACTCCCACTCCTCCACTCACCCACCACCCTACTCACCCTCCACACCCACCCACCGCCCTACTCACCCACCCACTGCCCTACTCACCCACCACACCCACTCACCCACCTCACCCACCCACCCACCCACCACACCCACCCACCCACCCACCACACCCACTCACCCACTCACCCACCACACCCACCCACACACCCACCACACCACCACACCCACCCACCCACACACCCACCACACCACCACACCCACCCACCCACACACCCACCACACCATCACACCCACCACACCCACTCACCCACCACACCCACTCACCCACTCACCCACCACACCCACCCACACACCCACCACACCACCACACCCACTCACCCACTCACCCACCACACCCACTCACCCACCCACCCACCTCACCCACCCACTCACCCACCCACCCACCACACCCACCCACTCACCCACCCACCACACCCACCCACCCACCCACCACACCCACTCACCCACCCACCCACCACACCCACTCACCCACCACACCCACCATACCCACTCACCCTACTCACCCACCCACCCACCCACCACACCAACTCACCCACCACACCCACCACACCCTCCGCACCCACCACACCCACCACACCCACCACACACCACCCACTCACCACACCCACTCATCCACCCACCCACCACGCCCACCACTCACCACACCCACCACACCCACCACACACACCACACCCACCACACACCACCCACTCACCACACCCACTCACCCACCCACCACACCCACCACCCACCACACCCACCCACCACACCCACTCACCCACCCACTCACCACACCCACCACACCACACACCCACCACACCCACTTACCACACCACACCACCACACCCACCCACCCACCACACCCACCACACCCACTCACCCACCACACCCACCCACTCACCTACTCACCCACCTCACCCACCTCACCCACCACACCCACCTCACCCACCACACCCACCACACCCACTCACCCACCACACCCACTCATCCACCACACCCACTCACCCACCACACCCACTCACCCACCACACTCACCCACCTCACCCACCACACTCACCCACCACACCCACCACACCCACCACACCCACTCACCCACCACACCCACTCACCCACCACACCCTACTCACCCACCACACTCACCCACCTCACCCACCACACTCACCCACCACACCCACTCACCCACCACACCCACTCACCCACCACACCCACCACACCCTACACACCCACCACACCCACCTCACCCACCACACTCACCCACCACACCCACTCACCCACCACACCCACTCACCCACCACACCCACCTCACCCACCACACCCACCACACCCACCACACCCACTCACCCACCACACCCACTCACCCACCACACCCACCACACCCACCACACCCACCTCACCCACCACACTCACCCACCACACCCACTCACCCACCACACCCACTCACCCACCACACCCACTCACCCACCACACCCACCACACCCTACTCACCCACCACACCCACCTCACCCACCACACTCACCCACCACACCCACTCACCCACCACACCCACTCACCCACCACACCCACCACACCCCCACACCCACCCCACCCACCACACCCACTCACCCACCACACCCACTCACCCACCACACCCACCACACCCACCACACCCACCTCACCCACCACACTCACCCACCACACCCACTCATCCACCACACCCACCACACCCACTCACCCACCACACCCACCACACTCACCCACCACACTCACCCACCACACTCACCCACCACACCCACCACCCACCACACCCACTCACCCACCACACCCACTCACCACACACCACCCACCACACCCACCACACCTACCACACCCACTCACCCACTCACCCACTCACCCACCACACCACCCACCCACCACACCCACCACCTCACCCACCACACCCACCACACACCACACCACACCCACCCACCCACCCTACTCACCCACCACACCCACCCACCACACCCACCACACCCACCCACCACACCCACCACACCCACCCACCACACCACCACACACCACACCACACCCACTCACCCACCACACCCACTCACCCACCACACCCACCCACCACACCCACCACCTCACCCACCCACTCACCCACCACACCCACCACACACCACACCACACCCACCACCCACCACACCCACCCACCACCCACCACACCACACCCACCTCACCCACCCACTCACCACCGCCCCACGCCCACAGGTGCGCTCGCTGTGCCACGCGTGGAACCCCGACGACTGCTCCCGCAACGTCTTCATCAAGCGCAGCGGCTTCACGCTCCACCGCAACCCGGTGGCTCAGAGCACGGACGGGGCCCGTGCCCGCCTCGGCTTCACGGAGGGCCGCCACGCCTGGGAGGTGTGGTGGGAGGGCCCCCTGGGCACGGTGGCCGTGGTCGGCGTGGCCACGCGCCGGGCGCCCATGCAGTGCCAGGGCTACGTGGCCCTGCTGGGCTCTGACGTCGAGAGCTGGGGCTGGAACCTGGTGGACAACAGCCTGCTGCACGGCGGGGAGGTCACGGGGAGCTTCCCACAGTGCAACAACGCGCCCAAATACCAGGTGCGGGGCGTGGCGGCGGCGCTGGTGGTGGTGACGGTGGTGACGGTGGTGGTGGTGGCGGTGGTGGTGGTGGTGGTGGCGGTGGTGGTGACGGCGGTGGTGGTCATGGTGGTGGTGGTGGTGGCGGCGGTGGTGGTGGTAGATGCGGTGGTGATGGTGGTGACGGTGGTGGAGGTGGTGATGGTGGTGGTGGAGATGTTGACGGTGGTGTTGGAGGTGGTGATGGTGGTGATGGTGGTGGTGGAGGTGGTGGCGGTGGCAACGGTGGTGGAGGTGGTGGCGGTGGTGGTGGTAGATGTGGTGGTGGTGGTGGCGGTGGTCATGGTGCTGGTGGTGGCGGTGGTGGTGGCAGATGTGGTGGAGATGGTGGTGACGGTGGTGGAGGTGGTGATGGTGGTGACGGTGGTGGAGGTGGTGATGGTGGTGGTGGAGATGTTGACGGTGGTGTTGGAGGTGGTGATGGTGGTGGAGGTAGTGACGGTGGTAACGGTGGTGGTGGTGACGGTGGTGGAGGTGGTGACGGTGGTGGTGGTGGTGACGGTGGTGGAGGTGGTGACAGTGGTGGTGGAGGTGATGACGGTGGTGGTGGAGGTGGTGACGGTGGTGGTGGTGGTGACGGTGGTGGTGGTGGTGGCACTGGCGCTGATGACGTTTACCCCGCATGCAAACATGCGAGCACACACACACACGCCGCTCACACACACACACACACGCCGCTCACACACACACACACACGCCGCTCACACACACACACACACGCCGCTAATACACACACACACACCGCTCACACACACACACACACCGCTCACACACACACACACACCGCTCACACACACACACACACACACCGCTCACACACACACACCGCTCACACACACACACCGCTCACACACACAGGCCGTTCACACACACACACACCGCTCACACACACACGCCGTTCACACACACACACCGCTCACACACACACACCGCTCACACACACACGTCGCTCACACACCGCTCACACACACACCGTTCACACACACACACCGTTCACACACACACACCGCTCACACACACACACACACCGCTCACACACACACGCCGCTCACACACACACACCGTTCACACACACACACACGCCGCTCACACACACACACACACCGCTCACACACACACACACGCTGCTCACACTTACACACACACACTGCTCACACACACACTGCTCACACACTGCACACACACACACACCGTTCACACACACACACCGCTCACACACACACACACGCCGCTCACACACACTGCTCACACACACTGCTCACACACACACACTGCTCACACACAGCACACACACACCGCTCACACACACACACACACGCCGCTCACACACACACACACACAGCACACACACACACTGCTCACACACACACACCGCTCACACACACACACACACTGCTCACATCACACACACACCGCTCACACACACACACACACTGCTCACACACACACACACACACTGCTCACACTTACACACACACACTGCTCACACTTACACACACACACTGCTCACACACACACACACTGCTCACACACACACACACACCGCTCACACACACACACACACTGCTCACATCACACACACACCACTCACACACACACACACACTGCTCACACACACACACGCACCGCTCACACACACACACACACTGCTCACACACACACACACACTGCTCACACACACACACACTGCTCACACACACACACACACTGCTCACACACACACACTGCTCACACTTACACACACACACTGCTCACACTTACACACACACACTGCTCACACTTACACCACACACCGCTCACACTTACACACACACACTGCTCACACACACTGCTCACACACACACACGCCACACACACACACACACCGCTCACACACACACACACACTGCTCACACACACACACACACCGCTCACACACACACACACACACTGCTCACACACACACACACACCGCTCACACACACACACTGCTCACACTTACACACACACACTGCTCACACACACACACACACACTGCTCACACTTACACCACACACTGCTCACACTTACACCACACACTGCTCACACACACTGCTCACACACACACACGCCACACACACACACACACGCCACACACACACACACCGCCGCCGCCGATACCGTTGCCAATTCCCCTGCCGCCACCGCCGCCGGTGTGCAGATTGGCGAGCGTATGCGCGTGCTGCTGGACATGGAGGACCGCACGTTGGCGTTTGAGCGCGGCCACGAGTTCCTGGGCGTCGCCTTCCGCGCCCTACCCAAGGCGCGCCTCTTCCCGGCCGTGTCCGCCGTTTACGGCAACACCGAAGTCTCCATGGTGTACCTGGGGCGACCTCTCGACGGGTGACGTCGGGAGGTCGTCGTCGCCGCGGCGACCGCCCGACGGGTGACGTCGCCGCGGCGACCGCCCAACGGGTGACGTCGTCGTCGCCACGGCGACCGCCCGACGGGTGACGTAGTCGTCGCCATGGCGACTGCCCGACGGGTGACGTCGTCGTCGCCGCGGCGACCGCCCGACGGGTGACGTCGTCGTCGCCATGGCGACTGCCCGACGGGTGACGTCGTCGTCGCCATGGCGACCGCCCGACGGGTGCCGTCGTCGTCGCCACGGCGACCGCCCGACGGGTGACGTCGTCGTCGCCGCGGCGACCGCCCGACGGGTGACGTCGCCGTCGCCACGGCGACCGCTCAACGGGTGACGTCGCCGCCGCGGCAACCGCCCGGCGTCGCCGCGGCGACGGCGCCTGGGGCGCCTGCTCGATGACGTTGCCGCGGCAACGGCGGGGGTCGCCGCGCCGACGCCTCCGGTTGCCACGGCGATGCCGGCGTTTCAGTGGAGAGTGCTGGGGTTTCTACGGCGACGCTGATGGGTTGCGGTGGCGATGGAGCTCTGACGTCATCTCGACATCACGGACAGCACTGTACCATCGTCACCATCACCGTGACGTCACTGGACCATCACCAACGTCACGGAAGCCTCCACCATCACTGTACCAGCACCAGCATCTGAATATTTATTTATACTGGAGGAATGCTATGAGCTATGAAGTTATTGTCCACAGATGTCCTGTATTTCCCAGATGACCAGTACCATCACTGTACCATCACCAACACCGCTAGCATCACTATACCAAGACCAACATCACCGATAACTACCATCACTCTACCATCACCGTACCATCACTGCCACCACCATCACCAACATCACCGACACAACTAGCATCACTCTACCATCACTTTACCATCACTGACACCACCATCACCAACATGACCAACATCACCGACACAACTACCATCACTCTACCATCACCGTACCATCACTGACACCACCATCACCAACATCACCGACACAACTACCATCACTCTACCATCACTGTACCATCACTGACACCACTATCACCAACATCACCAACATCACCGACACAACTACCATCACCGTACCATCACTGCCACCACCATTACTCATGCCCACCCCAGCCCACTATTTATTTATTTAACAGCCCAGTGAGACGGGTTGCTCGCAACTTTAGCGGAGACGTGTGGATGTCGCCCACGGCAGAGGGTGCGTGTCGTCGGCGTCGGCGTCATCGTCATGTGACGCGTTTCCGCGGCCGTGATTGGACGTCGCCGTATCCCGAATCATCGACCAGCCGCGCGATTGGTCTCGAGGGGCAATGACATCGTCGTCGTCGGCGTCATCGTCATGTGACGCGTTTCCGCGGCCGTGATTGGTCGTCGCCGTATCCCGAATCGTCGACCAGCCGCGCGATTGGTCTCGAGGGGCAATGACATCATCGTCGTCGTCGTCATCGTCATGTGACGCGTTTCCGCGGCCGTGATTGGTCGTCGCCGTATCCCGAATCGTCGACCAGCCGCGCGATTGGTCTCGAGGGGCAATGACATCATCGTCGTCATCGTCATGTGACGCGTTTCCGCGGCCGTGATTGGTCGTCGCCGTATCCCGAATCGTCGACCAGCCGCGCGATTGGTCTCGAGGGGCAATGACATCATCATCGTCATGTGACGCGTTTCCGCGGCCGTGATTGGTCGTCGCCGTATCCCGAATCGTCGACCATTCGCGCGATTGGTCTCGAGGAGCAATGACATCATCATTGTCGTCATGTGACGCGTTTCCGCGGCCGTGATTGGTCGTCGCCGTATCCCGAATCGTCGACCAGCCGCGCGATTGGTCTCGAGGGGCAATGACATCTTCATCGTCATGTGACGCGTTTCCGCGGCCGTGATTGGTCATCGTGGTATCCCGAATCGTCGACCAGCCGCGCGATTGGTCTCGAGGAGCAATGACATCATCATTGTCGTCATCGTCATGTGACGCGTTTCCGCGGCCGTGATTGGTCGTCGCCGTATCCCGAATCGTCGACCAGCCGCGCGATTGCTCTCGAGGGGTAATGACGTCATCGTCACCGTCATGGCCTTAGCCGAAAAGGCTTTAACGTCCGTTCAGCGCCACTTGTTCACTTGCACGGGGTCAGGGGAGCGTTGACGGTGGGTGACCAGCGCCAGTTGACGCAACTTCACGCGACACTTTCCGTTAAACCTGCAGACTCGGGTCACGTGGAGAGGCGGTGAGTGTCAGTGAGGAGCTCCTCACTGACACTCACCTACAGGCACTGTCAGTGAGGAGCTCCTCACTGTCAGTGTCAGTGAGGAGCTCCTCACTCACCTACAGGCAGTGTCAGTGAGGAGCTCCTCACTGAGACTCACCGCCTGTAGGTCTCAGTGAGGAGCTCCTCACTGATACTGCCTGTAGGTATCAGTGAGGAGCTCCTCACTGAGACTCACCGCCTGTAGGTCTCAGTGAGGAGCTCCTCACTGAGACTCACTGTCTGTAGGTGAGTGTCAGTGAGGAGCTCCTCACTGACACCGCCTGTAGACGAGTCTCAGTGAGGAGCTCCTCATTGACATCTACAGGCGGTGAGTGTCAGTGAGGAGCTCCTCACTGACACTCACCTACAGGCGGTGAGTCTCAGTGAGGAGCTCCTCACTGACATTCACCTACAGGCGGTGTCAGTGAGGAGCTCCTCACTGACACTCACATACAGGCGGTGAGTCTCAGTGAGGAGCTCCTCACTGACCTACAGGCGGTGAGTCTCATTGAGGAGCTCCTCACTGACACTCACCTACAGGCAGTGAGTCTCAGTGAGGAGCTCCTCACTGACACTCACATACAGGCGGTGAGTCTCAGTGAGGAGCTCCTCACTGACCTACAGGCGGTGAGTCTCAGTGAGGAGCTCCTCACTGACACTCACCTACAGGCGGTGAGTGTCAGTGAGGAGCTCCTCACTGAGACTCATCTACAGGCAGTGTCAGTGAGGAGCTCCTCACTGACATTCACCTACAGGCAGTGAGTCTCAGTGAGGAGCTCCTCACTGAGACCTACAGGCGGTGAGTCTCAGTGAGGAGCTCCTCACTGATACCTACAGGCAGTATCAGTGAGGAGCTCCTCACTGAGACCTACAGGCGGTGAGTCTCAGTGAGGAGCTCCTCACTGAGACTCGTCTACAGGCGGTGAGTCTCAGTGAGGAGCTCCTCACTGACACTCACATACAGGCGGTGAGTCTCAATGAGGAGCTCCTCACTGACCTACAGGCGGTGAGTCTCAGTGAGGAGCTCCTCACTGACACTCACCTACAGGCGGTGAGTGTCAGTGAGGAGCTCCTCACTGAGACTCATCTACAGGCAGTGTCAGTGAGGAGCTCCTCACTGACACTCACCTACAGGCAGTGAGTCTCAGTGAGGAGCTCCTCACTGAGACCTACAGGCGGTGAGTCTCAGTGAGGAGCTCCTCACTGAGACGTACAGGCGGTGAGTCTCAGTGAGGAGCTCCTCACTGAGATCTACAGGCGGTGAGTCTCAGTGAGGAGCTCCTCACTGAGACTCGTCTACAGGCGGTGAGTCTCAGTGAGGAGCTCCTCACTGACACTCACATACAGGCGGTGTGTCTCAGTGAGGAGCTCCTCACTGACACTCGCCTACAGGCGGTGAGTCTCAGTGAGGAGCTCCTCACTGACACTCACCTACAGGCAGGGTCAGTGAGGAGCTCCTCACTGACACTCACCTACAGGCGTTGAGTCTCAGTGAGGAGCTCCTCACTGACACTCACCTACAGGCGGTGAGTGTCCAGTGAGGAGCTCCTCACTGGACACTCACCTACAGGCAGTGAGTGTCAGTGAGGAGCTGTCCACCTTGTTGCTGTGCTGTATTGGTTGTTGTGTTGCTGTGTTATATTTATCGTGCTACGCATGCTGTGTGTGTATCACTGTGTGTGTGTCACTGTGTGTGTGTCACTGTGTGTATGTGTGTGTCACTGTGTCTGTGTGAGTGTGTGGGGAGCGGTGGGTGTAGTGGTTAGCGCTACGCTGCACTATGATCCCGGCGACCCGAGTTCGATTACCGATCACGGACACCACCGTCCTGGGCCTCCTCTAGGTCGACTCGGCCTCAAATGAGTACCTGGTGCGGTGTACAGTAAACATCGCCGCCGGGGAGACAAAGGCGGCCGGCCGTGGTGTTGGCCACCCACCTCCTCGTGTGCCGTGCCGGCCTTCACAGGTGCTGCTCGCTAACGGCACTTGCCCCTGCAGTCTGTTAGAGGCTACACGGGGGACCTTTGTCTTTGTGAGCGCGTGCCCTGTTCATTAAAGCTGCGTCAAGTCGATGGACACTCCTAGCGTTCACTGCGTTCACCAATGGCGCGTGGTCTATCCACTGCTGGATGGGTCAGGCCTCTTTAATTGCAAGCCGTGGGATCGACTAAGGGGCACCCCCAGTGGCAGCTGCCCCTGTGCGTTAGTCTGCCAGTAGTGGGTGGGGGGGTGGGGGCGACGTTTCGGGCAATGTCCCTTGACAGCACCACACGTACACACACGTGTACCATGCGGAAGGCCCGTCGACTGAAACGTCGCCTATTGATTCCCTCTCAAGGACAACCGACATTCGCCACTAAGTGGCGGTGACGTCACCACGACGCTTGTGCCAGGCTGGGTGCACGTTGAGGCCACGTGAAGTGTCGAACGCCCGCTGGCAGGAGGTCACGGGGCAGACCCAGCAAGTGCCACGGGTCAACTGGCTGATACGAGTGGCTGATGCACCACACCACACACACACCACACACACAACACTCCACACACACCATACACACCACACACACCACCCACGCCACACACACCACCCACGCCACACCACACACTACACCATACACACCACTCCACACACACCACACACTACACGACACACCATACACTTCACCACAAACACCATACACTACACCACAAACACCATACACACCACACCACACACACCATACACTACACACACCATACACACCACTCCCCACACACCACACACACTACACCACACACACCATAACCTACACCACACACACCACGCACCACGCACACCACTCACACACACCACAACAACCGCCATTCGCCACTAAGTGGCGGTGACGTCACCACGACGCTTGTGCCAGGCTATGTGCACCTTGAAGCCACGTGAAGTGTCGAACGCCCGCTGGCAGGAGGTCACGGGGCAGACCCAGGTGCCACGGGTCGACTGACTGAGATGACTGGCTGATACACCACCTGTGCCCCCTACTGTGCCAACCTGCTGTGATTTAGCTACCCGGCGCTCCACTCGTTGTTGTGAGCGTCGCTCCTCCGCCCTCCGTTGTTGTTGGAGGGCGACTGCCTCCAACTGCCCAGTAGCATCCTTCACGAGCCTCCTCCACAGAGGCCGATCTTGACACCGCTGGTACCAGTCATCGGCAAGTCCACTCAGCTCCACGTCCTCCTGTACCACATCACTCCATCTCTTCTCTAGCCCGTGCCGCGCCCGTTTAGCCCCCTCAATCCGGCCGAACAAAAGCTGTTTCGGCATGCGGTGGCTGGGCATGCGGGCTACATGACCCAGCCATCGCAGCCTTGCCTGCCGGAGGAGCTCACTGATGGGACCTTGCCCAGATCTTTCAAATATTTGTGAGCTCCTCACACAATCCAGCCTGGTTAAACCCAGGATGGATCGTAGGCAGGCTAGCCTAAATGTTTATAACCGGCAAAGATGTTCCATTAAGGTTGCATAACGCTGTGTGGAAGCTACCTGGTCTGTCGCTCCGCACTAAGCTTCAGGTCTTCTCGGCCACGGTCATTCCCTCCCTTCTCTACGCTTGCGAAACGTGGACCCTCTTAATGCAACACACACACACACCACACACACGACACCACACACACACGACACACTAAAACTAGTAGTTTTTCTATTTGAACCAAAAACTCGTAGTGAACTACTAAAACTAGTAGTTTTATTTTATTTGAACACAAAACTCGTAGTAAACTACTACATCTAGTAGTTTTTTGCTATTTACTAGTAGTTTTTATTTTATTTGAACCTATCTACGTGACTTTACATAGAGACCCAAATAATTTTAATTTCCTGCAGTCACGAAAGCTTAATGTCAACATTTACAGCGAGTTAATTAATGCCGCTACGCCCCGCCCCCTCCCTCCCTTGCCCCGCCCCCTCCCTCCCTTGCCCCGCCCCTCTTACCCCAACCCCTCCCCTCCTTACCCGCCCGCAACCACCGCACCCCCTCCCCCTGACCTCTTCCCCCCCCGTCCCCGCCCCCTCCCTCCGCTCACCCGCCCCTCCCTGTAACGGTCGCGGCCAACCGCCCCGCCCCCGCCGCGTGCTGATTGGCTCAAACCGCCTCCGGGGCGACCAATGGGAGGGCGAGGCGTAAATTTAAAAATAACAGCGTGGGGTGACTGCCGCTGTTGCTGAAACTCCGAGGGGCTTCAAGCGTTTAAAGTCGCCGATTTACCACTAAGACGTCAGATAGTTTACTACTTTTATTACTTTTATACACTCACGTACACCGTACGTTAGCTACGTAGCGACAGGACGTAAAGATAGAGTCTGTAGCGATTGGTTTATACAACATTGCAGTTGTGGAAGCGAGAAGACGTTTCACTTTGGAGGTTGGTAAGTGTCCATTGATGGCGTGGCGTGATGTGATGAGTGAGTGGTGTGAGTGGTGTGTGATGTGTGCGTGTGTGCTGTGCGTGTTGTGTGAGTGTGTGTGATGAGTGAGTGGTGTGAGTGGTGTGTGATGTGTGTGCTGTGCGTGTTGTGTGAGTGTGTGTGTGATGTGTGAGTGGTGTGTGATGTGTGTGCTGTGCGTGTTGTGTGAGTGTGTGTGATGTGTGAGTGAGTGGTGTGCGTGTTGTGTGTGATGTGCTGGTTGCGTGCTGTGTGTGTGTGGTGTGCTGTGTGTGTGGTGTGCTGTGTGTGTGGTGTGCTGTGTGTGTGGTGTGCTGTGTGTGTGCGTGCTGTGTGTGTGGGGTGCTGTGTGTGTGGGGTGCTGTGTGCGTGCTGTGTGTGTGGTGTGCTGTGTGCGTGCTGTGTGTGTGGTGTGCTGTGTGCGTTATGTGTGCGTGCGCGTGCTGTGTGTGTGTAGTGAGTGTGCGCTGTGTGTGCTTGCTCTGTGTGTGCGTGCTGTGTGTGTGCTGTGTGCGTGGTGTGTGTGTGCTGTGTGTGTGCTGTGTGTGTGTGCTTGCTCTGTGTGTGCGTGCTGTGTGTGTGCGTGCTGTGTGTGTGGTGTGCTGTGTGTGCTGTGTGTGTGCGCGTGGTGTGCTGTGTGTGTGCTGTGTGTGTGTGCTGTGTGTGTGTGCTGTGTGTGTGCTGTGTGTGTGTGCTATGTGTGTGTGCTATGTGTGTGTGCTGTGTGTGCTATGTGTGTGTGCTGTGCTGTGTGTGCTATGTGTGTGTGCTGTGCTGTGTGTGTGCTGTGTGCGTGCTGTGTGTAGGGTTAGCATTGTTGTTGAGTGCGGTGTGGAGGAGCAGGCTCGTGAAGGACGCCACCGGGCCAGTGCCAGGCTAGGTGCACTGTGAGGTTGGTGCCAGGCTAGGTGCACTGTGACGCTGGTGCCAGGCTAGGTGCACTGTGAGGCTGGTGCCAGGCTAGGTGCACTGTGACGCTGGTGCCAGGCTAGGTGCACTGTGAGGCTGGTGCCAGGCTAGGTGCACTGTGACGCTGGTGCCAGGCTAGGTGCACTGCGACGCTGGTGCCAGGCTAGGTGCACTGCGACGCTGGTGCCAGGCTAGGTGCACTGTGAGGCTGGTGCCAGGCTAGGTGCACTGTGACGTTGCTGCTGGGCAGCTGCAGGCAGACGCAGAGGAGCGACGCTCACAACAACAAGCGGAGCCCCGTGACCTCCTGCACCTAGCCTGGCACAGTGGAGGTCACAGCTGGTGGTGCACCTAGCCTGGCACAGTGGAGGTCACAGCTGGTGGTGCACCTAGCCTGGCACAGTGGAGGTCACAGCTGGTGGTGCACCTAGCCTGGCACAGTGGAGGTCACAGCTGGTGGTGCACCTAGCCTGGCACAGGAGGGGTCACAGCTGGTGGTGCACCTAGCCTGGCACAGTGGAGGTCACAGCTGGTGGTGCACCTAGCCTGGCACGGTAGAGGTCACAGCTGGTGGTGCACCTAGCCTGGCACAGTGGGGGTCACAGCTGGTGGTGCACCTAGCCTGGCACAGGAGGGGTCACAGCTGGTGGTGCACCTAGCCTGGCACAGGAGGGGTCACAGCTGGTGGTGCACCTAGCCTGGCACGGACGCCGTGGTGACGGTATTGGTGGTGTGGCGGCAGCCTTCATAGAGGTGGTCGCTAGCAGCACTTGCCCCTAGAACGGTCTGTCGAAGGCTATGCGGGGGATCTTTGTGTGTGTAGTGTGTGTGTGGTGTGTGTGTGGTGTGTGTGTGCAGTGTGTGTGTAGTGTGTGTGTAGTGTGTGTGTGGTGTGTAGTGTGTGTGGTGTGTAGTGTGTGTGTGTATGTAGTGTGTGTGTGTATGTAGTGTGTGTGGTGTGTAGTGTGTGTAGTGTGTGTGTGCAGTGTGTGTGTAGTGTGTGTGTGGTGTGTAGTGTGTGTAGTGTGTGTGTAGTGTGTGTGGTGTGTAGTGTGTGTGTGGTGTGTGTGTATCGTGTGTGTGTATTGTGTGTGTGCAGTGTGTGTGTAGTGTGTGTGGTGTGTAGTGTGTGTGGTGTGTAGTGTGTGTGGTGTGTAGTGTGTGTAGTGTGTGTGTAGTGTGTGTGTGATGTGTGTAGTGTGTGTGTGGTGTGTGTAGTGTGTGTATGTTGTATGTATGGTGTGTGTATGTTGTATGTATGTTGTGTGTATGTTGTGTGTGTATGTATGTTGTGTGTATATGCATGTTGTGTGTGTGTATGTTGTATGTATGTTGTGTGTGTATGTTGTATGTACAGTGAGGGAAAAAAGTATTTGATCCCCTGCTGATTTTGTACGTTTGCCCACTGACAAAGGAATGATCAGTCTATGATTTTAATGGTAGGTTTATTTGAACAGTGAGAGACAGAATAACAACAACAAAATCCAGAAAAACGCATGTCAAAAATGTTATCAATTGATTTGCATTTTAATGAGGGAAATAAGTATTTGACCCCTCTGCAGAACATGACTTAGTACTTGGTGGCAAAACCCTTGTTGGCAATCACAGAGGTCAGACGTTTCTTGAAGTTGGCCACCAGGTTTGCACACATCTCAGGAGGGATTTTGTCCCACTCCTCTTTGCAGATCTTCTCCAAGTCATTAAGGTTTCGAGGCTGACGTTTGGCAACTCGAACCTTCAGCTCCCTCCACAGATTTTCTATGGGATTAAGGTCTGGAGACTGGCTAGGCCACTCCAGGACCTTAATGTGCTTCTTCTTGAGCCACCCCTTTGTTGCCTTGGCCGTGTGTTTTGGGTCATTGTCATGCTGGAATACCCATCCACGACCCATTTTCAATGCCCTGGCTGAGGGAAGGAGGTTCTCACCCAAGATTTGACGGTACATGGCCCCGTCCATCGTCCCTTTGATGTGGTGAAGTTGTCCTGTCCCCTTAGCAGAAAAACACCCCCAAAGCATAATGTTTCCACCTCCACGTTTGACGGTGGGGATGGTGTTCTTGGGGTCATAGGCAGCATTCCTCCTCCAAACACGGCGAGTTGAGTTGATGCCGAAGAGCTCCATTTTGGTCTCATCTGACCACAACACTTTCACCCAGTTGTCCTCTGAATCATTCAGATGTTCATTGGCAAACTTCAGACGGGCATGTATATGTGCTTTCTTGAGCAGGGGAACCTTGCGGGCGCTGCAGGATTTCAGTCCTTCACGGCGTAGTGTGTTACCAATTGTCTTCTTGGTGACTATGGTCCCAGCTGCCTTGAGATCATTGACAAGATCCTCCCGTGTAGTTCTGGGCTGATTCCTCACCGTTCTCATGATCATTGCAACTCCACGAGGTGAGATCTTGCATGGAACCCCAGGCCGAGGGAGATTGACAGCTCGTTTGTGATTGTTTCATTTGCGAATAATCGCACCAACTGTTGTCACCTTCTCACCAAGCTGCTTGGCAATGGTCTTGTAGCCCATTCCAGCCTTGTGTAGGTCTACAATCTTGTCCCTGACATCCTTGGAGAGCTCTTTGGTCTTGGCCATGGTGGAGAGTTTGGAATCTGATTGATTGATTGCTTCTGTGGACAGGTGTCTTTTATACAGGTAACAAGCTGAGATTAGGAGCACTCCCTTTAAGAGTGTGCCCCTAATCTCAGCTCGTTACCTGTATAAAAGACACCTGGGAGCCAGAAATCTTTCTGATTGAGAGGGGGTCAAATACTTATTTCCCTCATTAAAATGCAAATCAATTTATAACATTTTTGACATGCGTTTTTCTGGATTTTTGTTGTTATTCTGTCTCTCACTGTTCAAATAAACCTACCATTAAAATTATAGACTGATCATTTCTTTGTCAGTAGGCAAACGTACAAAATCAGAAGAGGATCAAATACTTTTTTCCCTCGCTGTATGTATGTTGTGTATGTTGTATGTATTTTGTATGAATGTTGTGTGTGTATGTTGTATGTATGTTGTATGTATGTTGTGTGTATGTATGTTGTGTGCATATTGTGTGTATGTTGTGTGTGTATGTATGTTGTGTGTATGTTGTGTGTGTGTGTATGGTGTGTGTGTATGTTGTATGTTGTGTGTATGTTGTATATATGTATGTTGTGTGTGTATGTATGTTGTGTGTGTATGTATGTTGTGTGTGTGTATGTTGTGTGTGTGTGTATGTTGTGTGTGTGTGTATGTTGTGTGTGTGTGTTGTGTGTGTGTTGTGTGTATGTTGTATGCTGTGTGTGTATGTTGTGTGTGTGTATGTTGTGTGTGTATGTTGTGTGTGTATGTTGTATGTATGTTGTATGTTGTGTGTGTATGTATGTTGTGTATGTTGTGTGTTGTGTGTATGTATGTTGTGTGTATGTTGTGTGTATGTTGTATGTATGTTATGTTGTGTGTATGTTGTATATATGTATGTTGTATGTATGTTGTGTATGTGTGTTGTGTGTCTCAGGTTGGACCGACTGTAGAGGCCATGCCACCCAAGAGATCCACGCTCACCGCTCCCTCGGCCAACACTCACCACCAGCAGCAGCAGCAGGTGCTCACCACCACACTCACCACCACACTCACCACCACACTCACCACAACACTCACCACAACACTCACCACCACACTCACCACCACACTCACCACAACACTCACCACCACACTGACCACACCACTCACCACCAGCATCAGCAGCAGGTGCTCACCACAACACTCACCACCACACTGACCACCACACTCACCACCAGCATCAGCAGCAGGTGCTCACCACAACACTCACCACACCACTCACCACCACACTCACCACCACACTCACCACACCACTCACCACAACACTCACCAGTACACTCACCACACCACTCACCACACCACTCACCACCACACTCACCTCACCACTCACCACCACACTCACCTCACCACTCACCACCACACTCACCACCACACTCACCACACCACTCACCACCACACTCACCACTCACCACCACACTCACCACTCACCACCACACTCACCACCACACTCACCACACCACTCACCACCACACTCACCTCACCACTCACCTGTCCACTCACCACCACACTCACCACACCACTCACCACACCACTCACCACACCACTCACCACCACACTCACCACACCACTCACCAGCACACTCACCTCATTCACCACACATGTCTGTGTGTGTCTGTCTGTGTGTGCCTATGTCTGTGTGGCTCTGTCTGTGTGTCTCTGTCTCTCTGTGTGTGTCTATGTCTGTGTGTGTCTATGTCTGTGTGTGTCTGTGTGTCTGTGTGTGTGTCTATGTCTGTGTGTCTCTGTGTGTCTGTTTGTGTGTCTCTGTTTGTGTCTGTCTGTTTGTGTGTCTCTGTTTGTGCGTCTCTGTTTGTGTGTCTCTGTCTGTGTGTGTCTCTGTCTGTGTGTGTCTATGTCTGTGTGTGTCTATGTCTGTGTGTGTCTCTGTGTGGTGTCTCTGTGTGGTGTCTGTGTGTGTGTCTGTGTGGTGTCTGTGTGTGTGTCTGTGTGGTGTCTCTGTGTAGTGTCTGTGTGTGTGTCTCTGTGTGTGTGTGTCTCTGTGTGTGTGTCTCTGTGTGGTGTCTCTGTGTGGTGTCTCTGTGTGTGTGTCTCTGTGTGGTGTGTCTGTGTGGTGCCTCTGTGTGTGTGTCTCTGTGTGTGTGTTTCTCTGTGTGTGTTTCTGTGTGTGTGTGTTGTGTCTACAGAAGGCAAGGGGTAAGTCTATGTGTGTGTCTTTGTGTGTATGTGTCTCTGTGTATGTGTGTGTCTCTGTGTATGTGTGTGTGTCTCTCTGTGTGTGTGAGTGTGTCTCTGTGTGTGTGTGTGTGTCTCTGTGTGTGTGGCTCTGTGTATGTGTGTCTCTGTGTGTCTCTGTGTGTTGTGTCTACAGAAGGCAAGGGGTAAGTCTGTATGTGTGTCTGTGTGTGTGTGTCTCTGTGTGTCTCTGTGTGTCTCTGTGTGTGTGTTGTCTACAGAAGGCGAGGGGTAAGTCTGTATGTGTGTCTCTGTGTGTGTTTCTCTGTGTGTCTCTGTGTGTGTGTCTCTGTGTGTCTCTGTGTGTGTGTCTCTGTGTATGTGTGTCTCTGTGTGTCTCTGTGTGTCTCTGTGTGTCTCTGTGTCTTGTCTACAGAAGGCGAGGGGTAAGTCTGTATGTGTCTCTGTGTGTATGTGTGTCTATGTATGTGTGTCTCTGTGTGTGTGTGTCTCTGTGTCTTGTCTACAGAAGGCGAGGGGTAAGTCTGTATGTGTCTCTGTGTGTATGTGTGTCTATGTATGTGTGTCTCTGTGTGTATTTCTGCGTGTGTGTCTCTGTGTGTTGTGTCTACAGAAGGCGAGGGGTAAGTGTGTATGTGTCTCTGTGTGTGTGTCTGTGTGTCTGTGTGTGTGAGTGTGTCTCTGTGTGTGTGTGAGTGTGTCTCTGTGTGTGTGAGTGTGTCTATATCTCTGTGTGTGTGTCTCTGTGTGTGTGTCTCTGTGTGTGTGTGTCTCTGTGTGTCTCTGTGTGTGTGTGTTGTCTACAGAAGGTGAGGGGTAAGTGTGTGTGTGTCTCTGTGTGTGTGTGTCTCTGTGTGTCTCTTGTGTGTGTCTCTTGTGTGTGTCTCTGTGTGTCTCTGTGTGTGTGTCTGTGTGTATGTATGTGTCTCTGTATGTGTCTCTGTGTTGTCTACAGAAGGCGAGGGGTAAGTGTGTGTGTGTCTCTGTGTGTGTCTCTGTGTGTGTGTCTCTGTATGTGTGTTGTGTCTACAGAAGGCGAGGGGTAAGTGTGTGTGTGTGTCTGTGTGTGTATGTGTGTGTCTCTGTGTGTATGTGTCTCTGTGTGTGTGTCTCTGTATGTGTGTTGTGTCTACAGAAGGCGAGGGGTAATTGTGTGTGTGTCTCTGTGTGTGTGTATGTGTCTCTGTGTGTATGTGTGTGTATGTGTGTTGTCTACAGAAGGCGAGGGGTAAGTGTGTATGTGTGTGTGTCTCTGTGTGTCTCTGTGTGTCTCTGTGTGTGTGTGTATGTGTGTTGTCTACAGAAGGCAAGGGGTAAGTGTGTGTGTGTCTCTGTGTGTGTGTTGTTGTTGTGTGTTGTCTACAGAAGGCGAGGGGTAAGTGTATATGTGTGTGTGTGTATGTGTGTGTATGTTTGTGTGTTGTGTCTACAGAAGGCAAGGGGTAAGTGTGTGTGTGTCTGTGTGTGTGTCTCTGTGTGTGTGTGTCTCTGTGTGTATGTGTCTCTGTGTATCTCTGTGTGTGTGTCTCTGTGTGTTGTCTACAGAAGGCGAGGGGCAAGTGTGTATGTGTGTGTGTCTCTGTGTGTCTCTGTGTGTGTGTGTTGTCTACAGAAGGCGAGGGTAAGTGTGTATGTGTGTGTGTGTCTCTGTGTATGTGTGTGTGTGTCTCTGTGTGTATGTGTGTGTGTGTTGTCTACAGAAGGCGAGGGGTAAGTGTGTATGTGTGTGTGTGTCTCTGTGTATGTGTGTGTGTGTCTCTGTGTGTATGTGTGTGTGTGTTGTCTACAGAAGGCGAGGGGTAAGTGTGTGTGTGTGTCTCTGTGTGTCTCTGTGTGTGTGTATGTTGTCTACAGAAGGCGAGGGGTAAGTGTGGCCCCCCCCAACTCAAGAGGCTCCCTCCGTCGCCGCAGGGAGCTGCTAAGAAGCGGTCAGCCCTGGGAGACATCACCAACGTAGGTAGACACAGACAAAGCTCCCCCGTGTAGCCTCGACACCACTGGGGCAAGTGCTGTTAGTAGCGAGTAGCAGCAGCACCTGTGAAGGTAGACACAGACAAAGATCCCCCGTGTAGCCTCTACAGACTGTAGGGGCAAGTGCTGTTAGTAGCGAGTAGCAGCAGCACCTGTGAAGGTAGACACAGACAAAGCTCCCCCGTGTAGCCTCTAACAGACTGCAGGGGCAAGTGCTGTTAGTAGCGAGTAGCAGCAGCACCTATGAAGGTAGACACAGACAAAGGTCCCCCGTGTAGCCTCTAACAGGCTTCAGGGGCAAGTGCTGTTAGCGAGCAGCACCTGTGAAGGCTACCGGCATTGTAGCACACGAGGGGGTGGGTGGCCAGCAACACGCCCGACCGCCTTTGTCTCCCTAGTGGGTGGCGATGTTTACACACCGCACCAGGTACTCATTTGAGGCTGAGTCGACCTAGGGGAGGCCCGGGACCGGTTCAGATAATCGTCACCGCCAGTGTTGGCCGTGAGCGGGAATCGAACCCGGGTCGCCAGGTTCATAGCGCAGCGTGCTAACCGTTACACTACCGCTCCCCACCTACACACAGTGTACACACACACACAGGTACACACACACACACAGGTACACACACAGGTACACACAGGTACACACACACACACAGGTACACACACACACGCAGGTACACACACACACACACAGGTACACACACAGGTACACACAGGTACACACACACACACAGGTACACACACACACGCAGGTACACACACACACACAGGTACACACACACACGTGAACATCAACAACAACAACAAGCTTTCTGACCATGGCGCTTGTGCCAGCCTAGGTGCACCTTGAGGCCACTTGAAGTGTGGAAACCTCGTTGCTGGCAGGATGTCACGGGACAGACCCTGCAGATGCCATGGGTTGACTGCTGTGCCAGGCTAGGTGCAGGAGGTCACGGGGCAGACCCTGCAGGTGCAGTGGGTTGACTGCTGTGCCAGGCTAGGTGCAGGAGGTCACGTGGCAGACCCTGCAGGTGCCATGGGTTGACTCCTGTGCCAGGCTAGGTGCAGGATGTCACGGGACAGACCCAGTAAGTGCCGTGGGTTGACTGAGGTGACTGGCTGATGCACCACCTGTGCCCCCTACCGTGCCAACTCGCTGCATTTTATCCGCCCGGCGCTCCGTTCGTTGTTGTGAGCGTCGCTCCTCCGCCCTCCGTTGTTGTTGGAGGGCGACTGCCTCCAACTGCCCAGTAGCATCCTTCACGATCTTGACACCGCTGGTACCAGTCATCGGCAAGTCCACTCAGCTCCACGTCCTCCTGTACCACATCACTCCATCTCTTCTCTAGCCCGTGCCGCGCCCATTTAGCCCCCTCGATGCGGCCGAACAGAAGCTGCTGGGCCATGCGGTGGCTACGTGACCCAGCCAACGCAGCCTCGCCTGGCCGGAGGAGCCCGCCGATGGGACCTTGCCCAGACCGTGCCAGGACCTGCGAGCTCCTCGCACGATCCAGCCCGCAGGTTAAACCCAGGGAGGATGGAATCGTAGGGCAGGCCAGCGCTGAATGTTTCAAACCGGGGGGGGGGTCCGCGTGTCACCAGCGACCGTCCGTTGAAGGCTCGCGGGGGGCTCTGTGTCTTTGCTCCCCACGGTGCGCACCCTGGCGGACACAGAATAAGGAAGAGGTGGACGACGAGGTGGCGAGGAGACAGGCGAGGAAGGGGGCGAGCCGGAGATGCGCAGGGGACGTCATCGCGGAGAGGTGAGGCCGCTCACCCCTCACCTGTAAATCTCTCTCTGTGCCTGTCAGCACGTGTCTTGTCGGTGTCTGTGTGTACTGTCTGTGTGTACTGTCTGTGTGTACTGTCTGTGTGTACTGTCTGTGTGTGTCTGTGTGTACTGTCTGTGTGTGTCTGTGTGTACGTGTCTATGTGGGTCTTTGTGGGTCTGTGTACGTGTCTGTGTGTGTCTGTGTGTACGTGTCTGTGTGTGTCTGTGTGTATGTGTCTGCGTGAGTCTGTGTGTACGTGTCTGTGTGTACGTGTCTGTGTGTGTCTGTGTGTGTGTACGTGTCTGTGTGTGTGTCTGTACGTGTCTGTGTGTACGTGGCTGTGTGTATGTGTCTGCGTGTACGTGTCTGTGTGTACGTGTCTGCGTGTGTGTGTGTCTGCGTGTCTGCGTGTACGTGTCTGCGTGTGTGCGTGTCTGCGTGTCTGTGTGTAGGTGTCTGTGTGTGTCTGTGTGTACGTGTCTGCGTGAGTCTTTGTATCTGTGAGCGGTCACCCACTGCGCTACGAACTCGGCGACCCGAGTTCAACTCCCGCTCGCGATTGTCCGAACTGGTCCTGGGCCTCGCCTAGGTCGGCTCGGCCTCAAATGAGTAAACATCGCCACTGGGGAGACAAAGGCGGCCAGGCGTGGTGCTGGCCTCCCACCCCCTCGCGTACCGTGCCGGCCTTCACAGGTGCTGCTCGCTAACGACACTTGAACCTCAGGGCATACCCCAGGGTACCCTGGTGTATGCCCTGAGGCATACACCAGGGTACCCTGGGGTACACCAGGGTACCCCAGGGTACACCAGGGTACCCCAGGGCGGTACACCAGGGTACACCAGGGTACACCAGGGCGGTACACCAGGGTACACCAGGGTACCCCAGGGTACACCAGGGTACCCCAGGGCGGTACACCAGGGTACACCAGGGTACACCAGGGCGGTACACCAGGGTACCCCATGGTGCCCAGGCTCTCGCACGATGCCCGTGATGATGCAGTCATCTTTAGTCTGTCGATGGCCGGCGAACGCGGCAATGGACTCCTCTCTACGAGCTGGGCACGATGCACGATTCAAAGTTGAGTTTTTGCCATGCTGACGTTTGGCGTTTCGACATGGCCGGAGTGGCACAGATTTCGGATTGACTGGTACCCCTGGGAAAAAAAAAGTGTCCCAGAAATAAAATGTTGAATTGTCTCGGCCAGTTTGCGTTATCTGGTACCCCGGGGTACGGCCATGAGGATCACTTTCCCCTGCGGTCTGGTCAAAGCTACACGGGGGATCTTTGTCCTTGTGTGCTTGACAGAGAGAACCAGGACCAGGCCTCAAACCCAGAATCCCACAGAATCTCTGGCATGGCCATTATGAACTCCCTCCCCTTCCTCCCTCTCCTCCCTCCCTCTCCTCCCTCTCCTCCCCTCCCTCTCCTCCCCTCCCTCCCCTCCCTCTCCTCCCTCCCCTCCCCTCCCTCCCCTCCCCTCCCTCTCCTCCCCTCCCTCCCCTCCCTCCCTCCCTCCCTCCCCTCTCCTCCCTCTCCTCCCCTCCCTCTCCTCCCTCTCCTCCCTCCCCTCCCTCTCCTCCCCTCCCTCCCCGCCCTCTCCTCCCCTCCCTCCCCTCCCCTTCTCTCCTCCCTCCCTCTCCGCCCTCCCTCTCCGCCCTCCCTCTCCACCCTCCCACCCTCTCCACCCTCCCAGTGTCTCCTCACGGGTGAAGTGGATTGCGAGCGACCTGCTGTGCAGTCCTCCCGCCCGGCCCAATGCCGTCACCGCGGAGGAGGGTGCAGTGGAGGAGGTGGCGGAGGAGGAGGAGGAGGAGGTGGTGGTGCTGGAGAGCAAGGAGGTGGTGAAGACGGTGAAGGTGGTGGAGGTGGTGGTGGTGGAGGAGGAGGAGGAGAGCAAGGAGGTGGAGGTGGTGAAGGTGGAGGAGGAGGAGGAGGAGGAGGAAGAGGAGGAGGCTGACAGCAGCGAAGAGGTGATAACGGCCATTATGAACACGGCCGTCGTTAACATAACACAGACATCGTGAATCTGACACGGCCATCGTTAACATAACACAGCCATCGTGAACCTCACACGGTCATCGTGAACCTGACACGGCCATCGTGAACCCCACACAGCCATCGTGAACCTGACACGGCCATCGTGAACCTGACACGGCCATCGTTAACCCCACACGGCCTTCGTTAACCTGACACGGCCATCGTGAACCTCACACGGCCATCGTGAACCTGACACGGTCATCGTGAACCTGACACAGCCATCATGAACCTGACACGGTCATCGTGAATCTGACACGGTCATCGTTAACCTGACACGGCCATCGTTAACCTGACACGGCCATCGTGAACCTGACACGGTCATCGTGAACCTGACACGGCCATCGTTAACCTGACACGGCCATCGTGAACCTGACACGGCCATCGTTAATCTGACACGGCCATCGTTAACCTGACACGGCCATCGTTAACCTGACACGGCCATCATGAACCTGACACGGCCATCGTGAACCTGACACGGCCATCGTGAATCTGACACGGCCATCGTTAACCTGACACGGCCATCATGAACCTGACACGGTCATCGTGAACCTGACACGGCCATCGTTAACCTGACACGGCCATCGTGAACCTGACACGGCCATCGTTAATCTGACACGGCCATCGTTAACCTGACACGGCCATCGTTAACCTGACACGGCCATCATGAACCTGACACGGCCATCGTGAACCTGACACGGCCATCGTGAATCTGACACGGCCATCGTTAACCTGACACGGCCATCATGAACCTGACACGGTCATCGTGAACCTGACACGGCCTTCGTTAACCCAGCGTGGCTGCTCCCCCTCTGCTCCTCCGCAGGCAACCGTCCTGTCCCGGGGTTCGCCGGGACCAGACGAGGTAGACGAGGAGGAGGTGGAGGAGGAGGAGGAGGTGGAGGTGGTGGTGGGGGAGGTGGTGGGAGAGGTGGGGGTCGAGGAGGAGCCTGGGAAAGGGGACCCCCTGCAGTGCTCTGAGTACGCACGATCCGTGTTCCTCTACATGAAACAGCGCGAGGTGAGGGCACACACTCACCCACACGCTCGCCCACACGCTCACCCACACGCTCACCCACACGCTCACCCACACGCTCACCCACACGCTCGCCCACACGCTCACCCACACGCTCACCCACACGCTCGCCCACACGCTCACCCACACGCTCACCCACACGCTCGCCCACACGCTCACCCACACGCTCACCCACACGCTCGCCCACACGCTCACCCACACGCTCGCCCACACGCTCACCCACACGCTCGCCCACACGCTCACCCACACGCTCACCCACACGCACGCCCACACGCTCGCCCACACGCTCGCTCGCCCACACGCTCAGTCACACGCTCAGTCACACGCTCAGTCACACGCTCACCCACACGCTCACCCACACGCTCACCCACACGCTCGCCCACACGCTCACCCACACGCTCACCCACTCACACGCTCACCCACACGCTCAGTCACACGCTCACCCACACGCTCACCCACACGCTCGCTCACACGCTCACCCACACGCTCACCCACACGCTCGCCCACACGCTCACCCACACGCTCACCCACTCACACGCTCACCCACACGCTCAGTCACACGCTCACCCACACGCTCACCCACACGCTCGCTCACACGCTCACCCACACGCTCACCCACACGCTCGCCCACACGCTCACCCACACGCTCGCCCACACGCTCACTCACACGCTCACCCACACACTCACCCACACGCTCACCCACACGCTCGCCCACACGCTAACCCACACGCTCGCCCACACGCTCGCCCACACGCTCACCCACACGCTCACCCACACGCTCACCCACACGCTCACCCACACGCTCACCCACACGCTCACCCACACGCTCACCCACACGCTCGCCCACACGCTCGCCCACACGCTCACCCACACGCTCACCCACACGCTCACCCACACGCTCACCCACTCACACGCTCACCCACACGCTCACCCACACGCTCACCCACACGCTCGCCCACACGCTCACCCACACGCTCACCCACACGCTCACCCACACGCTCACCCACACGCTCACCCACACGCTCAGTCACACGCTCACCCACACGCTCAGTTACACGCTCGCCCACACGCTCGCCCACACGCTCACCCACACGCTCGCCCACACGCTCGCCCACACGCTCGCCCACACGCTCGCCCACACGCTCACCCACACGCTCACCCACTCACACGCTCACCCACATGCTCACCCACATGCTCACCCACACGCTCGCCCACACGCTCACCCACACGCTCACCCACACGCTCACCCACACGCTCACCCACACGCTCACCCACACGCTCAGTCACACGCTCACCCACACGCTCAGTCACACGCTTGCCCACACGCTCACCCACACGCTCGCCCACACGCTCACCCACACGCTCGCCCACACGCTCACCCACACGCTCACCCACACGCTCACCCACACGCTCACCCACACGCTCAGTCACACGCTCACCCAAACGCTCAGTCACACGCTCGCCCACACGCTCAGTCACACGCTCGCCCACACGCTCACCCACATGCTCACCCACACGCTCACCCACACGCTCAGTCACACGCTCGCCCACACGCTCACCCACACGCTCACCCACACGCTCAGTCACACGCTCACCCACACGCTCAGTCACACGCTCGCCCACACGCTCACCCACACGCTCGCCCACACGCTCAGTCACACGCTCGCCCACACGCTCGCTCACACGCTCACCCACACGCTCACCCACACGCTCACCCACACGCTCACCCACACGCACGCCCACACGCTCGCCCACACGCTCACCCACACGCTCGGTCACACCCTCGCCCACACGCTCACCCACACGCTCACCCACATGCTCACCCACACGCTCACCCACACGCACGCCCACACGCTCGCCCACACGCTCACCCACACGCTCGGTCACACACTCACTCACACGCTCAGTCACACGCTCGCTCACACGCTCACCCACACGCTCACCCACACCCTCGCCCACACGCTCACTCACACGCTCACCCACACGCTCGCTGCTGTAGCTGTAGCTGCTACGTGGGGGACCTTTGTCTGTTGTAGCTGCTGTAGCTGCTGTAGCTGCTACGTGGGGGACCTTTGTCTGCTGTGCGTGCAGGAGAAATTCTCGCTGTTGCCCTACATGGAGCGCCAGGCGGACCTCAACGCCGAGATGCGCGGCATCCTCGTCGACTGGATGGTGGAGGTGCAGGTGGGCGGTCATCGTGAACCTGACACGGCCATCGTGAATCTGACACGGCCATCGTGAATCTGACACGGTGATCCTGAATCTGACACGGCCATCGTGAACCTGACACGGCCATCGTGAACCTGACACGGCCATCGTGAACCTGACACGGCCATCGTGAACCTCACACGGCCATCGTGAATCTGACACGGTCATCGTGAATCTGACACGGTGATCCTGAATCTGACACGGTCATCGTGAACCTGACACGGCCATCGTGAACCTGACACAGCCATCGTGAACCCCACACGGCCATCGTGAATCTGACACGGTCATCGTGAACCTGACACGGCCATCGTGAATCTGACAAGGCCTTCGTGAATCTGACACGGCCATCGTGAACCTGACACGGCCATCGTGAACCTCACACGGTCATCGTGAACCTGACACGGCCATCGTGAACATAACACAGACATCGTGAACCTGCACGGCCATCGTGAATCTGACACGGCCATCGTGAACCTGACACGGCCATCGTGAACCTCACACGGCCATCGTGAACCTCACACGGTCATCGTGAACCTGACACGGCCATCGTGAATCTGACACGGCCATCGTGAACCCCACACGGCCATCGTGAACCTGACACGGCCATCTCGAACCTCACACGGCCATCGTGAATCTGACACGGTCAGCGTGAATCTGACACGGCCATCGTAAACCTGACACGGCCATCGTGAACCTGACACGGCCATCGTGAACCCCACACGGCCATCGTGAACCTGACACGGCCATCGTGAACCTGACACGGCCATCGTGAATCTGACAAGGCCTTCGTGAATCTGACACGGCCATCGTGAACCTGACACGGCCATCGTGAACCTCACACGGACATCGTGAACCTGACACGGCCATCGTGAACATAACACAGACATCGTGAACCTGCACGGCCATCGTGAATCTGACACGGCCATCGTGAACCTGACACGGCCATCGTGAACCTCACACGGCCATCGTGAACCTCACACGGTCATCGTGAACCTGACACGGCCATCGTGAATCTGACACAGCCATCGTGAACCTGACACGGTCATCGTGAATCTGACACGGCCATCGTGAATCTGACACGGCCATCGTGAACCTGACACGGCCATCGTGAACCTGACACGGTCATCGTGAATCTGACACGGCCATCGTGAATCTGACACGGCCATCGCGAACCTGACACGGCCATCGCGAACCTGACACGGCCTTCGTGAACCTCACACGGCCATCGTGAACCTGACACGGCCATCGTGACCCGCCCCCCCCGTGACCCCCCCGTGACCCCCCTGTGACCCCCCTTGCGTGCCGTGCAGGAGAACTTTCAGCTGAACCACGAGACGCTCTACCTGGCCGTCAAGTTGGTGGACCACTTCCTGAACGTGGCGGCAGTGCCACGTGAGAACCTCCAGCTGGTGGGCGCCACCTGTGTGTTCATCGCCGCCAAGTTCGACGTGGGGCTCCTGAAACACTCAAACACTCGCTCAAACACTGAAACACTCACACACTCAAACACTCACACACTCACTCACTCACTCAAACACTCAAACACTCACACACTCACTCACTCAAACACTCACTCAAACACTCAAACACTCGCTCAAACACTCACACACTCACACACTCAAACACTCAAACACTCACTCACACACTGAAACACTGAAACACTCACTCAAACACTCACACACTCACACACTCACACACTCACACACTCACACACTCACTCACACACTCACACACTCAAACACTCGCTCACTCACTCACTCAAACACTCACACACTCACACACTCACTCAAACACTCACTCACTCAAACACTCGCACACTCACACACTCGCTCACTCACTCACACACTCACTCAAACACTCACTCACTGAAACACTCACACACTCACTCACTCACACACTCACACACTCAAACACTCACTCAAACACTCACTCACTGAAACACTCACACACTCAAACACTCACACACTCACACTCACTCACTGAAACACTCACACACTCACACACACTCACACACTCAAACACTCAAACACACACTCAAACACTCACACACTCACACACTCACTCAAACACTCGCTCACTTACACACTCACACACTCACACACTCAAACACTCAAACACTCACACACTCACACACTCACTCAAACACTCACACACTCACTCACTCAAACACTCACACACTCACTCACTCACACACACACTCACACACTCACTCAAACACTCACACACTCAAACACTCACTCAAACACTCACTCACTCACACACTCACTCAAACACTCAAACACTCACACACTCAAACACTCACACACTCACTCACTCAAACACTCACTCACACACTCACACACTCACTCAAACACTCGCTCACTCGCTCACTCACTCACTCAAACACTCACACACTCACACACTCACTCAAACACTCACTCACTCAAACACTCACACACTCACACAAACACTCACTCACTCAAACACTCACACACTCACACACTCACTCAAACACTCACTCACTCACACACTCACACACTCGCTCACTCACGCACTCGCACACTCACTCAAACACTCACTCACTGAAACACTCACACACTCACTCACACACTCACACACTCAAACACTCACTCACTGAAACACTCACACACTCAAACACTCACACACTCAAACACTCACACACTCACACTCACTCACTGAAACACTCACACACTCACACACACTCACACACTCAAAAACTCAAACACACACTCAAACACTCACACACTCACACACTCACTCAAACATTCAAACACTCGCTCACTTACACACTCACACACTCACACACTCAAACACTCACACACTCACACACTCACTCAAACACTCACTCACTCACACACTCACTCACTCACTCACACTCACTCAAACACTCACACACTCAAACACTCACTCAAACACTCACACACTCAAACACTCACTCAAACACTCACTCACTCACACACTCACTCAAACACTCAAACACTCACACACTCAAACACTCACACACTCACTCACTCAAACACTCACTCACACACTCACTCAAACACTCAAACACTCACACACTCAAACACTCAAACACTCACTCACACACTCAAACACTCGCTCAAACACTCGCTCACTCACACACTGACTCACACACTCACTCACACACTCACTCACACACTCACTCACACACTCAAACACTCAAACACTCGCTCACTCACTCAAACACTCAAACACTCACTCACTCACACACTCAAACACTCACTCACTCAAACACGCAAACACTCACACACTCAAACACTCACTCACACACTCAAACACTCACACACTTAAACACTCGCTCGCTCAAACACTCGCTCAAACACTCACACACTCGCTCACTCACTCAAACACTCACACACTTAAACACTCGCTCGCTCAAACACTCGCTCAAACACTCAAACACTCGCTCACTCACTCAAACACTCACACACTTAAACACTCGCTCGCTCAAACACTCACTCACACTCACACACTTACTCACTCACACACTCAAACACTCACTCACTCGCTCAAACACTCAAACACTCACTCACACACTCACTCAAACACTCACTCACTCACTCAAACACTCACACACTCAAACACTCAAACACTCACTCACTCACACACTCACTCACACACTCGCTCAAACACTCACACACTCACACACACACTCGCTCACTCACTCAAACACTCGCTCACTCGCTCACTCAAACACTCACACACTCGCTCACTCACTAAAACACTCGCTCACTCACTCACACACTCAAACACTCGCTCACTCACACACTCACTCACTCACACACTCAAACACTCGCTCACTCGCTCAAACACTCACACACTCACACACACACTCAAACACTCACTCACACACTCAAACACTCACTCACACACTCACACACTCAAACACTCAAACACTCACTCACACACTCAAACACTCACTCACACACTCACACACTCAAACACTCAAACACTCACTCACACACTCGCTCACTTGCACACTCGCTCACTCACTCAAACACTCAAACTCTCAAACACTCACTCAAACACTCACTCACACTCTCGCTCACTCACACACTCAAACACTCACTCGCTCACTCACACACTCAAACACTCACTCACACACTCAAACACTCACTCAAACACTCACTCAAACACTCAAACACTCGCTCAAACACTCACACACTCACACACTCAAACACTCAAACACTCACTCACACACTGAAACACTGAAACACTCACTCAAACACTCAAACACTCAAACACTCACACACTCACACACTCACTCACACACTCACACACTCACTCAAACACTCGCTCACTCACACACTCAAACACTCGCTCACTCACACACTCAAACACTCACTCACACACTCAAACACTCGCTCACTCACACACTCAAACACTCGCTCACTCAAACACTAAAGCACTCACGCACTCAAACACTCAAACACTCACACACTCAAACACTCAAACACTCACACACTCACACACTCGCTCACTCACACACTCACACACTCACACACTCAAGCACTCACACACTCAAACACTAACTCAAACACTCAACCACTCAAACACTCACACACTTAAACACTCACACACTCAAACACTCGCTCACACACTCACACACTCACACAATCACACACTCAAACACTCGCTCACTCACACACTCACACACTCAAACACTCACTCGCTCACTCACACACTCACACACTCAAACACTCACTCACTCAAACACTCGCTCACTCACACACTCAAACACTCGCTCACTCGCACACTCGCTCACTCACACACTCACACACTCAAACACTCGCTCACTCACACACTCACACACTCAAACACTCGCTCACTCAAACACTCGCTCACTCAAACACTCGCTCACTCACACACTCGCTCACTCACACACTCAAACACTCACACACTCACACACTCAAACACTCACTCGCTCACTCACACACTCACACACTCAAACACTCGCTCACTCACACACTCGCTCACACACACACTCACACACTCGCTCACTCACACACTCACACACTAACACACTCACACACTAACACTCACACACTCACACACTCAAACACTCACACACTAACACACTCACACACTCACATACTCACTCACACACACACTCACACACACTCACACACACACTCACACACTCGCACACTAACACACTCAAACACTCGCACACTCGCACACTAACACACTCACACACTCGCACACTCGCTCACTCACACACTCACACACTCGCACACTCACACACTCAAACACTCAAACACTCACACACTCACACACTAACACACACACTCAAACACTCAAACACTCATACACTCACACACTCGCACACACTAACACACTAACACTCACACACTCACACTCACTCACACACTAACACTCACACACTCACACAATCAAACACTCACACACTAACACTCACACACTAACACTCACACACACTCACACACACACTAACACACTCACACACTAACACACTCACACACTCTCCCCCCTCCCGCCCCCGCCAGGAGGTGTGTCCCCCCAGCGTGGACGACCTGCTCTTCATCTGCGACGACGCCTACACCCACGTGGAGCTTGTGGGCACGGAGCGACGCATCCTCCTCGCCCTGGACTACGACGTCAACATCCCCGTCGCCTACCGCCCCCTCCGCAGATACGCCAAGGTCGAACACGCTCACGCTCACGGACAACTCCGCGCGGGGCGATCACCTGTACCGGTCCCGGGCCTCCCCTATGTCGACCGGGGGGTCAAACGAGTACCCGGTGCGGCGTGCGGTAAACGTCGCCGCTGGGGGAGACAAAGGCGGCCGGGCGTGGTTGCCGGTGGCCGCCCACCCCCCTCGTTGTGCCACGGTGCCGGTAGCCTTCGCAGGCGCTGCTCGCTAACAGCACTTGCCCCTGCGGTGTGTCAGAGGCTACACGGGGGAGCTTTGTCTGTGTCTACCTTCACAGGTGCTGCTGCTACTCGCTACTAACAGCACTTGCCCCTGCGGTCTGTTAGAGGCTACACGGGGGATCTTTGTCTGTGTCTGCCTTCACAGCTGCTGCTGCTACTCGCTACTAACAGCACTTGCCCCAGCAGTGTGTTAGAGGCTACACGGGGGATCTTTGTCTGTGTCTACCTTCATAGCTGCTGCTACTCGCTACTAACAGCACTTGCCCCTATAGTCTATAGAGGCTACACGGGAGATCTTTGTCTGTGTCTACCTTCACAGGTGCTGCTGCTACTCGCTACTAACATCACTTGCCCCTGCAGTCTGTTAGAGGCTACACGGGGGACCTTTGTCTGTGTCTACCTTCACAGGTGCTGCTGCTACTCGCTACTAACAGCACTTGCCCCTACAGTCTGTAGAGGCTACACGGGAGATCTTTGTGTGTGCGTGTGCGTGTGTGTGTGCGTGCGTGTGCGTGCGTGCGTGTGTGTGTGTGTGCGTGTGTGTGTGTGTGTGTGCGTGTGCAGGTGTGCGGCGTGGACATGAAGACGCTGACGCTGGCGCGCTACGCGTGCGAGTCCACGCTGGCTCACGTCGACTTCGTCTCCGAGGGGGCCTCTCGCCTGGCGGCAGCCTGCCTAGGCCTCGCCCTGCGCATGATGAGACTCCCGCCATGGGTAACGCACGCACGAGGCGCGCGGGGGCAACGCGCCATCGCACACCGCCGCAATATTGACCGGGGCGGCCCGCCGGATCGGAACCTCCGGGCCTCCCCTAGGTCGACCCGGCCTTAAACCTTCGTCCTGTGTCCAGCCGGAGGCGCTGGCGCGGCACAGCGGGTACCAGGAGGCCGGCGTGCGGCCGCTGATGGCGCGTCTCAACGAGCTGCTGCGGCAGGCGCCGGAGGAGAAACTCGTCGCCGTCTACAGCAAATACTCCCACAAGTGAGCGGTCACTCGGCCTGGCCACGGGGCGTTTGTGACGCCGTGTTTGTGACGTTGTGTTTGTGACGTTGTGTTTGTGACGCTGTGTTTGTGACGCTGTGTTTGTGTTGCTTTGTTTGTGTTACTGTGTTTGTGATGCTGTGTTTGTGTCACTGTGTTTGTGTTACTTTGTTTGTGACGCTGTGTTTGTGACGCCGCGTTTGTGACGCTGTGTTTGTGTTACTGTGTTTGTGATGCTGTGTTTGTGTTACTGTGTTTGTGACGCTGTGTTTGTGTTACTGTGTTTGTGACGCTGTGTTTGTGTTACTGTGTTTGTGACGTTGTGTTTGTGTTACTGTGTTTGTGACGCTGTGTTTGTGTTACTGTGTTTGTGACGCTGTGTTTGTGTTACTGTGTTTGTGATGCTGTGTTTGTGACGCTGTGTTTGTGTTACTGTGTTTGTGACGTTGTGTTTGTGACGCTGTGTTTGTGTTACTGTGTTTGTGACGTTGTGTTTGTGACGATGTGTTTGTGTTACTGTGTTTGTGTCGATGTGTTTGTGACGCTGTATTTGTGACGATGTGTTTGTGACGCTGTGTTTGTGTTACTGTGTTTGTGACGTTGTGTTTGTGACGCTGTTTTTGTGTTACTGTGTTTGTGACGCTGTGTTTGTGTTACTGTGTTTGTGACGCTGTGTTTGTGATGCTGTGTTTGTGACGCTGTGTTTGTGTTACTGTGTTTGTGACGCCGCGTTTGTGACGCCGCGTTTGTGTTACTGTGTTTGTGACGCTGTGTTTGTGTTACTGTGTTTGTGAAGCTGTGTTTGTGTTACTGTGTTTGTGACGTTGTGTTTGTGTTACTGTGTTTGTTAAGCTGTGTTTGTGTTACTGTGTTTGTGACGTTGTGTTTGTGACGCTGTGTTTGTGTCGCTGTGTTTGTGATGCTGTGTTTGTGTCACTGTTTGTGTTACTGTGTTTGTGTTACTGTGTTTGTGACGCTGTGTTTGTGACACTGTGTTTGTGACGCTGTGTTTGTGACGCTGTGTTTGTGACGCTGTGTTTGTGACGCTGTGTTTGTGACGCTGTGTTTGTGTTACTGTGTTTGTGACGTTGTGTTTGTGACGCTGTGTTTGTGTTACTGTGTTTGTGACGCTGTGTTTGTGTTACTGTGTTTGTGACGCTGTGTTTGTGTTACTGTGTTTGTGACGTTGTGTTTGTGACGCTGTGTTTGTGTTACTGTGTTTGTGACGTTGTGTTTGTGACGATGTGTTTGTGTTACTGTGTTTGTGTCGATGTGTTTGTGACGCTGTGTTTGTGACGATGTGTTTGTGACGCTGTGTTTGTGTTACTGTGTTTGTGACGCTGTGTTTGTGTTACTGTGTTTGTGACGCTGTGTTTGTGTTACTGTGTTTGTGATGCTGTGTTTGTGACGCTGTGTTTGTGTTACTGTGTTTGTGACGTTGTGTTTGTGACGCTGTGTTTGTGTTACTGTGTTTGTGTCGATGTGTTTGTGACGCTGTGTTTGTGTCGATGTGTTTGTGACGCTGTGTTTGTGACGATGTGTTTGTGACGCTGTGTTTGTGTTACTGTGTTTGTGACATTGTGTTTGTGACGCTGTGTTTGTGTTACTGTGTTTGTGACGTTGTGTTTGTGACGCTGTGTTTGTGTTACTGTGTTTGTGACGTTGTGTTTGTGATGCCGCGTTTGTGACGCCGCGTTTGTGACGCCGCGTTTGTGACGCCGCGTTTGTGACGCTGTGTTTGTGTCGCTGCGTTTGTGTTACTGTGTTTGTGACGCTGTTTGTGTCGCTGTGTTTGTGACGTTGTGTTTGTGACGCTGTGTTTGTGTTACTGTGTTTGTGACGCTGTGTTTGTGACGCTGTGTTTGTGTCGCTGTGTTTGTGACGCTGTGTTTGTGTTACTGTGTTTGTGACGTTGTGTTTGTGACGCTGTGTTTGTGTTACTGTGTTTGTGACGCTGCGTTTGTGACGCTGTGTTTGTGTCGCTGTGTTTGTGACGCTGTGTTTGTGTTACTGTGTTTGTGACGTTGTGTTTGTGACGCTGTGTTTGTGTTACTGTGTTTGTGACGTTGTGTTTGTGACGATGTGTTTGTGTTACTGTGTTTGTGTCGATGTGTTTGTGACGCTGTGTTTGTGACGATGTGTTTGTGACGCTGTGTTTGTGTTACTGTGTTTGTGACGTTGTGTTTGTGACGCTGTGTTTGTGTTACTGTGTTTGTGACGCTGTGTTTGTGTTACTGTGTTTGTGACGCTGTGTTTGTGATGCTGTGTTTGTGACGCTGTGTTTGTGATGCTGTGTTTGTGACGCTGTGTTTGTGTTACTGTGTTTGTGACGTTGTGTTTGTGACGCTGTGTTTGTGTTACTGTGTTTGTGACGTTGTGTTTGTGACGATGTGTTTGTGTTACTGTGTTTGTGTCGCTGTGTTTGTGACGATGTGTTTGTGACGCTGTGTTTGTGTTACTGTGTTTGTGACGTTGTGTTTGTGACGCTGTGTTTGTGTTACTGTGTTTGTGACGCTGTGTTTGTGTTACTGTGTTTGTGACACTGTGTTTGTGATGCTGTGTTTGTGACGCTGTGTTTGTGTTACTGTGTTTGTGACGTTGTGTTTGTGACGCTGTGTTTGTGTTACTGTGTTTGTGACGTTGTGTTTGTGATGATGTGTTTGTGTTACTGTGTTTGTGTCGATGTGTTTGTGACGCTGTGTTTGTGACGATGTGTTTGTGACGCTGTGTTTGTGTTACTGTGTTTGTGACGTGGCCCCTCGGGATAGAGTCATCATGTTGGGTGACTTCAATGCCCGAGTTGGTCATGATACTGGCACCTGGTCTGGAGTGATTGGAGGGCATGGGCCAGATCAGCTCAATAACAATGGTAGGAGGCTGCTAGATTTTTGTGCAGCCCATGGGCTTGTAATTACCAACACGCTGTTCCGGCATCGGCGCATCCACACAACATCATGGATGCATGCCGGGTCCAAGCAAGAACATCTGCTGGACTACATAGTGACGGACCAGCGAATGCGAGCCCATGTCCTTGACACCAGGACCTACCGTGGAGCTGATCTGCCCTCTGACCATCGACTAGTCATCTGTAAGATGCGCCTGCCATTCTTCCACTCCGGTGGTGGGTGTACACCCAGGACCCCATTCCAACCTAAAGTGGCCTGGTCTCAGTTATCTGATGAAAGTTGCAAGCGAGAATTTCATCATCGCTTGCGGCTGGGATTGGCATCGTCCCCGACTCCTCCTGATGTCGAGGGTAAATGGGCGAGGTTTAGGACTGTGACTCATGCAGCTGCAATGGCTGCTTTGGGTACGCGGTCCAGACCTCCCCAGACACCCTGGATGACAGAGGAGTTGTTCAGGATGGTTGAGAAAAAGCGACAGGCCCACTGTCATCGGCTACAGAATCCCACGTCAGAGAATGAGGAGGCTTACCGCAGCCTTCGCTCGGAGGTTCGGAGAGCCGTGAGGCGCTGCAAGGATGGGTGGTGGTCGCGGGTTGCTGAGGAGATGGAGTCTGCCTCAGTGGCCCGTGATCACAAATCGCTATTTAACTCCATCAAAAAAGTAACCTGCAGCGCCACACCTATTACCATCATTAGGGGAAAAAACGGTGATCCAATTTCCGACCCCCAGGAACAGGTTCGCAGATTTGCTGAGCATTTCTGTGAGGTCCTGGGGGAGGGAAAATCCCACAGCCAGGAAAACATCGTGGCACAAAGTGAGGATGACCCTGCTGAGGCTGCGGTGCCTCAAATATTGGATGAAGTCACCCCCTGTGAGTGGCTGGCTGAGGTGCCATCTGCTGAGGAAGTATTGAAGGCGATCCGGAGTCTGAGACCAGGAAAGGCACCGGGCAGAGATGATCTCCCAAGCGAAATGCTGAGGGAGGGTGGCGTTTGTGCACAGACTGCCCTATATGACATCATAACAACAGTCTGGACCACTGGACGGGTTCCGCAGGATTGGAAGGATGCCCTGGTGGTCCCCCTTTTTAAGAAGGGGGACCGCACAGACTGTAACAACTACAGGGGCATCTCACTCCTCAGTGTGCCGGGAAAGGTCCTGGCAAGGATTATTCAGCATCGCCTTGCCAGGCACGCTGAGGAGAGGCTTGCGGAGCCCCAATGCGGTTTCAGGAAAGGGCGGTCCTGCACAGATGCCATATTTTCTGTCCGTCTGCTACAGCAGAGGTGTAGGGAATTCCAACAAGACCTACATCTCTGCTTTATTGACCTGGTCAAGGCCTATGATACCATCAGTAGGCCTGGGCTCTGGGTCGTTCTTCGTGCTTTTGGAGTACCTGACCCTCTGCTCACGATCATTAAGGACCTTCATGATGGTGAGCGGGCCCGGGTTAAACTACGTGGCCGGGAGTCAGAGCCATTCCCTGTACACCTTGGGGTGCGACAGGGATGTCCTCTGGCTCCCACATTATTTAACATCTATTTTGACCACGTAGTTCGTGAAGCCTCCAATAGCTGTACCGGGGGAATCTCCATATGGTACAGATATAATGGGAGGCTAATCGATGCCCGGGTGCGGTCAAGGGATGGCTCCCTATTGCTCAACCACGTTATGTATGCTGATGACTTGGTAATAGCTGCTCAGTCAGAGGAGGAGTTGCAGACGCTGCTGCTGAGACTGGAGCGTGCCACTAAGAGGTGGGGCCTTACCATCAGCCCCACCAAAACTAAGCACCTGCCTGGGTATTTTGTACCATCGGACACTCCACCCCCACAACTCCCAATCGGTGATGGGGCAGTTGTGGAGAGAGTGGAGAGTTTCCCATACCTGGGCAGTGTGCTTATGACTGGCTCCAGTTTAACAGCAGAGGTCTCACTCCGAATCAGTCGAGCGGAAATATCTTTTCATCGGTTGCGTAACGCTGTGTGGAAGCTACCTGGTCTGTCGCTCCGCACTAAGCTTCAGGTCTTCTCGGCCACGGTCATTCCCTCCCTTCTCTACGCTTGCGAAACGTGGACCCCCCTAATGGAACA